GATTTTTAGAGATGAGTAATAGCTTTGTTCAGAAGCTCTCCCAGTGGAGTGCGCCATACGTGAACCATGGTTACGATTTTGAACATGAATGTATGCACCTGTGAATCATAGTAAACACTGCACCGATAATAAATATTGACACATGGGATAATCTGCCCCTACTCATATATAAGGTCGACCATCCACAGCATTTTTACACTCCAAGTCAGATCTCTTCACATCACACAGAACACCTGTTCCTCACCACTACACCATACTTAAGCTACACTAAATCAATACCAAAGCACCACTACATCACCACCAAAGCCACACCAAAACTAGGTTCAAATACCTCACACACATCACAACAACCATGTGTCCACAAATGTACACCCGCGAAGAATTCCTCTCCATCTTCATCAACACCGCCACCACCTCACCATACCTCACCACAGAATGCACAATCTGTGCAGAACCCTACTCCTCCTCCCCCGACGGGTGCGCAGTAACTTTCTCAGACAAAGAAAGCTGCAACCACGTCTTTTGCAAAGCCTGCATCAGCCAGTGGCTGAACACCAAAGGTGTGAACTCCTGCCCACTATGCAGGAGGGAGCTATTTGTACTCGACGACGAGGACTACGATGGTTTTAATTTCGATGACGAAGAAGAAGACGAAGAGGACGAGGAAGAGGCAGAACAAGAATCCATCTTCACCCATGAGCAAATCATGGAACTACTCGAAAACGCTTGGTACAAAGTGTTCTGGCTACTCGATAGCCACCGCCAAAATATCGCGAGAACTGCTCGCGAAGAAGAAGTCGAAAGCGACGACGACGACGACGACAACGAAGATTTGTCATCGCCCCGTCCCCCCCTCTACTCCTCTACCCTCATCCACTCCTTCGTCGGCGTTCTCGCCTCCCGTGTAGATGTCCACGACCTCAATGACATCGTGGAGTTCACCAGCATCACGAAAATGAACGTGATTGCGTGTATTATGCACCGTATCATGGACGAGCAGGTCATGTGTGTTGAGAGGACGGGTGGAAGGGTAAAGATGCTGGAGTTTCCGTTGGAGATGGCATTGGAGTGGGCGGCGCCCATGAAGTGGGTTATGCGGCGTGTTTAGATTATTTTTTTTTCGAATCGTGCTGATTGGGGGGGTTGGGAGGGGTAGCGCGTATAGCAGAGCTGTATTCACGCTTGATTTTTTATGACTTAGGGTATCCTCAGAGGGATTTTTTTGCATTAGCGGACTGTGTGCAGCGTATAGCTTGGACGTCCGTGAGGGGACACTGTGTAACACCGGGCTGAAGAATTGCTTTGTTACGTAGATTAACTATTTTTTTTTAACTTCATTCCTTTTCTTCAGAACACATTGTATACGTGAGAAATGGGGGGGGGGGGGGGTTTGCTTCCGCATCTTGGATTTTGATTTGTTGGTAGTGGTAGTAGTATTCGCTACATAAGAAAAGAAAAGAGAGAGAGAGGGAAACCGCTTGGAAATCTGCCAAATAGGTCACACACATACGTGTATGGCGGGTATATAGAAACTCTGAAAAAAAACGCCTTTAACCCAAAGAAGAATAATACAACAAATTGAGCAAAATTCCTCCATCCTTGAACACCTTGCGTGCTTTTTGCCAGTGCTAGAAAAATAACGAATAGAAAAGAGAAACAAAGGGATTGGAAATATGAACATGGACTCATGAACAGAGATAAGGAAAAGAAGAGTGATGATAAGGAGATTGAACAAAGGAAAAGAAGAAAAGAAGTGCCAGTCTAGTAGTATACACTGCCGCTTTGGGTCACTACACGCGAATGCTTCCCTTGCGGTACTTCTCATCCTTGAGCGGGACAGGTGGGCGTTCATCTTCCGAGTTGCACTGAGAAGGCATAGCCGAGTCCTTGCGCTCATGTCTGGGATCGTACTTTGCACTTGAAAGAGTGCGCTCGGGGATGTACTTTGCGCTCGAAAGCGTGGGTTCGGGCGAGTATGTAGCGCTGGAGAGAGTGAACTCCTTGGGGCTGTATCTTGCGCTTGAGAGGGTAGGCTCGGGCGAGTAGGTGGTGGGGGGCAGGAGTTGGTATATGGTCGAACGGGTTGTGGCAGAAGGGGATGTGTACATGAATTCGTCGATTGCGTCGTCGATGTCGCTGAGGAGGTTGTGCTGGTTGGATTGGGAAACTGAGGAGTTGGACTTGCGGTCGAAGGGTTGCTTGGGGTCGAAGGGGAAGGTGAAGGAGATTGGGCGCTCCTCAGGGGTGTAGGAAATTCGCGGTGCGAGAAATGCCGAGCTGGGCTCGTTCGGTGATGGGTGGTAGGGTGTTCGGGGGCTGACAGGCAGAGGTGAGAGCATTGCCTGAGAAAGAGGGGTTTCAGGAAGCCTCTCACGTGGGCTAGCAGGGCCCAGGGATGCTGGTCTGGCTTTTCTTCGGGCGAATCCGCCGTCGTAGGTCGTCGCTGGTAGCAGGTAGGAGTTTTGCTCTGGTGCAGAGGTAGAGACCTCCTTCTCTTCCCGTACAATGGTGTAGGAGATAGGTCGTTCGCCCTGCTTGAAAGGGCTTTCTGGCTTGAACAGACTGTCGCCTAGCTTGGATGGGCTCTCGCCTTCTCTGAAAGGACTCTCGGCCTGATCGCTGTTCAATGTCGAAGAAGAGGAGAAACCAGGAGAGAGGACAGGATCGCTCTGACTCCTTGTATGTGTGAGGTAGCGTGGCGAGGGAACTTGGAGGTGGCTTGGAGAAAGCTGGTAGTCTGGTGGCGGCGCGATGAAGATGTCGCCATGACCCATGCGCTCACCTGGGTCTACATTGCGGAGTGCTCGTAGTCTCTGGTTTGCGAAGTCGGCCTCGAGAATGTGTGCCCTCTCAACCAGCTTGTCGACTAGCTTGCCATGTGAGTCCTTGAAAGTCCTCTTGACGAAGCTTAATAGCAGTGATGAGCACGTCATCCTGACATCTTCCCGAATGTATAGTCCGTTCCTTGGTGTTCGAAGATCAGGCTCGGCGGGAAGCTTTGGTTCACCAGGTAGCCTTCCTCCTACAGTCCACTTTGATTGGATGTCGAGACCCAATGGTGCGTACACATGTGTGAAGAGGCCGTCGGCTGTGTCGTTGAAGCAAGCATGGTATGATACTGAACCAGTAGCCAGACCGCCTGGTAGATATGAGACCTTGTCTAGTAATCGTCAGGCTTGGACGCAAGAATAGGGGGCTAGGTAGAGTCGACTTACCCTTGATGGTGTACCACATGGCCCAGTACTCATCAGTAGGCGCATAGGAAGGAGGCTTGCACATGAACCGCTCTACAACCAAGGGGTTCAAGTCAATCATAGCCAAGTGGTCATGGTACATGTCTATCACGCTCTTCCTTGTGATGCCAGCCGGAAGCGGCGTAATAGTGGTGAAGACAGCAGTCTTCGGCATCCTGTCTCCTTTAGTGCGGGATGGATCTAAATCGATCTTGATCTGGTTCCAAGTTTCAAGGAATCGGGGTATATGTGGATGCGTCTAGATGTTTATACACACGCGCGTGAGAAGATGGAGAGGTAGAGAAAAGTTGTTTGGACAGCAGAGCAGCGAAGGAAGATGTATTTGTTTCGCAGGCTAGAAGAAGCCCAGCCCAAGAGCGCTGACACGCTTCGCACGTGTATCAGGCATGCGCTAGAGCACAGCTTCAGATCCCCTGCACCATTCATCTTTGCGGAAGGTTTGGGAACGACAGGACCCTCGCCAAGCTCCCCGCCAATACTTCGGGAACGGCACTGATGCCGTTCTCGACACGCATCTAGAATTCTGCCTCTTGTCATCAGCTGCCAAGCGCAGCCGGATGTGTGTTTGACCGTTCTGTTTTGATGCAGGTCCTCCAAGCGGCACCGCCAGCTCACACTGGCAGCGTCTAGAAAACACTAATGCCGAGAGCCCACAAACACAAAAATCCACGCTGCTAGGCGCAGACGCGGAAGTGCAAGTTTTGTTCCGGAATCAAGTGGCGTAGTGTAGCAGATGTCCGTATCCTGGTGCAGATCCGCCGCATGTACGTTACAAGCTAAGGTTTGCGCTAGTACAAATGTGGAAGTTACAATGAACTATTCGAGGGTAATTCCACTTGAACTTCAACTCTACACTGCAAGACGTGTACAATAGACTTTGCCTGTCAACAACAAATGTCAAAAGCAAAGTTTGCTGTCATAGTTGACATTCAAGGAAAGGAAAAAAAAAGACTCGGCTGTACATACAACAACTACTGCGCATTGCGCACCGCAGAGTACAGAGTACCCCAGAGATTCCCATCTTCAGGCATTGCATGTCTCTTTTCTGTTTCAGCATGCTCCTTCAGGCACTCATCGTATGTTCAGGCATGTACATCCCCTTTACCCGAAGGAGATTTGCTCTGCTGTTACAAACCAAGCGTTTGAAAACGACATGTTAAGAAAAGTGGTGCCCGGCTTGACATTCCCGTTTAGGTCTCCGCGTCGAGGTCCAGACGTACTTATTTCTCAAAGGTGCGCTGTTTCATCCGCGTGTATGCAACCGCCCTTTCTCCCCGTCGTCTACAAATCCTTCTTCTTGGACGTGTCTACGTGACAAATGCCCGATGCTATGTATAGTAAAAAATGATTTGCAAAAAAGCAAAAAGGTACTCCGCACCCGTCATCGATGACATATACTGCTCTGTTTTTGGGCGTGCGGATTATTTCGCCCTTTTTGCTTTTGTCATTGCGTTTGTCATCGCATTTGGCCAAGAACTGAACACATAGAGCCTTAGATAGCGCGGTACCTGAGGTGTCATCCAGATTGACACCTGTCACAAAAGCGAACTTGCATAGACTCTTCGAAACCATACTGGATCAAGATAGATTACGAATGTTGATATTGTATATGAATTTCAGTGCTGCGCAAAGCAAAGCAAAGCAAACGAGACAGACATCATTCATGAGAACACCAAAGCGCCGCAATCATGCCTGATGATCGCATTCCTAGTCATTTACGCATCAAACTCACACCGTAAATCTCATCTATACACCTTGATGCATTTTGATCTCCTCGTTTCCATATGGCTTCTTCCCAGCGCTCGCCGGTCCAGCCTTGCGTCCCTTGATAATTGACATCACACCAAGCCCGAAGGTGGCCATCCACGTAAACCACGAGATAGCGCTAAGCGCTGTGCTTGCACGAGCTACATCGCAGACCTAATCAATCGCAGTTAGTCTCTATTCAGCGTAGACCATGGCATTTCCTGTAGTCCGCCTCTGGAACTCTACTTCTACAGCCAGGACATCATCAAGGGGAATCGAAACTATACATACCATGCCAAAGCAGATTCTACCGTTCAAAAACACGCCTAGCGAGACAAACCCACTGAGCCAAAAGAGCATCGTCATGCCTTCAATGCCCAACAAAGCCCACTTCATCGTGGTTTGTTCTGCCAAGTGGGTGAATTTGCCCAGCGAGATGAGCATCAAAGGAGCGAGCGTCAGAAGACTCCAGGCTGGCGCGAAGATTAGGTAGTTGATCTCGATTGGAGACGACTGTCGCCAATGACTTGACCACCATGACGATACTGTAAGTGCAGGTGAGTTTGGGGCTAAAGAAAAGGTGAGGGCAGCCAAACATACCATACGCCATGAGTCCAAGAACGACAATAGAAAGCACAGCCTGGGCAGCACGCGCAGGAAGCATCCAGCTCATTGCCATTTTGGGTGTATGCTGTAGTCTCTTCTCCTAAAGAAGTGCCGTGTCGTGTATGTGTAGCTGACACTTTAACGCTTGTCTTGCCAAGGCGACTGGAACTATCGGTTCGATCTGCTTGTAATATATCCTCTGAATATCGTACGTGTCAAATATACTAGCGATTTACTGAAGAGAAGACTTCTCGCACCACAGCAAAACACCGCATACATAGACAAAAGGATCGTCAAGAAAAAAATTCGAACAGATACGTCGCTTATATGGCGTTGTCCAGACAAACGTAGGATCCAGGGTAAAAATAATGTCGAGAGGCGAAGAGAAAGGGAACCAAAAGGCGTGGGAAGAGAGAATAGGGTAAAGTGTGGGAAACCCCGATGGTGAGGGGCGAGGGACTTTAGTCGATACGGGTAAAATAATCCAAGGGCAATCCCTGACCGCAAAAGAAGTATAAAAAAGTCGAGAAGTAAAAAGTAATATATATATATATATTCACGGGTTCAAAAAAAATAAAAATAGAGGATGAAAATTCGGAAGAATAACAAGGCGACGAAAAGGAACGAAGAGAAAACTCCAGGTTTCCTATCTCACAATCGAAGAAAGTAAAGGAGTGAGCGAGCGAAAACTGTCAAGGACGAAAGAAAGCAAGACGAAACCTTCACCACAAAAAGATCAAGAGCCAGAGATAAGACCCAGGCATATACAAGGTCCGTCCCCCTCCCCACAAAAAAAAATCCAACCCTTCACATACAAATTCATGCCGCTTACTTTTCCCACTCCAACTCTTCTTCTCGCCCAAAAGCTACATCCTTCGTCCCAGCCTTGTCTGTCCACGTAAAACCCCCCCGCATACTTACCATAAAAAACTCATCACACACAGCCTGCGACCGGCGCTGCCTCAACGCTCGTCTTCGCCCCTCCCCGATCTATGCGTGGCAAAAAAAATCCTAGCGGGGGGGGGGGGGGGGGGATGAAAGGGCCTAGGTCAATAATTGTTCAAACTAAGAAATTCATGCGTGGTGGGCAGAGTGTGGTGGGCGCGTTGCAGCTTTTTTGCGAGCGTGGCCACTGGGTGCGCGCGGGACTTGGGGTTGGTGGGTGTCTCAGCGTGTCCTGTCCCCCCTGACTGAAAACGGGGGAGGGGTTGGCAAGGGTTATGGTGGAATCTGTAACGGTTGTGCGACGAAGTGGGTGAGGGGTGTGATTGGTAGGACGGCGCTTGGTTCGTCACAGGTTGCAAAGTGGGCCGCAATTTTTCGTTGGTTTGGGAAGGGAAGGGAAAAGGTGGAAAGGACGTAGGAGGGAGAGAGGGGGACTTGCGCATCGTCCGAATTGAGCATCCATGCTTTGTATTGCGCAATACAGTTGCGCAATACAATCGCTCTTGCCTAGACACATAAAACAACTTCAGCTCACGAGATCTTGGGGTGGGACTAAAACGGGACCTGGAAAACATGCTGAGAATCATTGCCTTTAACCCATTTATCGTACATGCATACATCCCCCTTCCCAATTACCTGCTCATGGATAACGTCTCGTGAAAGGCATCAGTCCAATGAACATTCCCTAGCTAGACCTAAGAGAATCAAAGCCATATCCACCTCAGCATCCTTGCACCCAGCGTATCGTCGCCCGCATTGTTCGACAGTACAATGAGCATTCCAGCATCATTGGACAGTCAGATAACGCCATTGAGTACACGCTGAAAACGAAAGAAGTGGGTATCCGAAAGAAAACTCAAATACATATCGAATGAAAAGCCAGATAAAAAAATTGAAACAGAAGTGAAAACGTGTTTTAGAACGACGGTCCATGAGTGTTGCACCCATGTTCATCAGGTGACAAGTGATCATGACATTCATGACGTATCGACAAATGTCGAACGTAAGAATTCGATAAACACTAGCACGATAGAATCCAGAACGATGACCGGGCACAAGCCCAGCCATCTTGAAACATGGGAAGTCAAGGCATTTTCAGCGCAAGATCATCTCATTGTGGGGTTTAGTGCTGAAGGGTAACCTCTCATACTTCACCCGCGTGGGCTGAAGAGTGTAGCTGCGCGAGTCATTTCGTGACATTTGTTGACCAGCTGAGAGATGGCGCGAAGAAGCGGGCTGCCAGGAGTGCTCTCATTGAGCTGGATGTACGCAGTCGTCAAACGTTGGACAACGACATCCATGATCTTCGGGATGATATCACGAATCTCTGCATCCTAAAAACATGTTAGCTTGAGGAAGCTGGTTAGGGAAGTAGTCCACTTACGGCGGGATTAACGCTTCTGAAAACAGCACTGAGCCAGACAAGACGTTCGTGCAGGTTGCGACCCAATGATTCGGAGACTACTGCTCCGGTCGAGAGTGCAAGCAGCGGGCTGACCTGGTTGAGATAGGCAGGGTCGTAGCGCACAAAGACCTCGTCGAAGAGTGCAGCACTACGTGGAGACTGCAGCCACTGCATAGTACCTTGCTCAAAGTTGCCCTCAGACATGAGTTTATGGATGGCGTCAATCTCTAGTTCCTCTGGGGTCTTCTGCTTTTGAGGAGAGCGCGCCGTCTGCATCGTACCCTCTCCACGAGATGGACCCTGGGTATGGCGCTCTTCGATGGCCTGTTGCAGTTTGGCCACCTGTGCCTGAAGCTCAGCTTGAGTCGCAGCCATAGTTCGGATCGTGTCCAGACAGGTATGCACGGTTTCGGTCAGTGTGGTGATCTTGGCAGTGTCATCGCGACGCTGAGTACGAGCTTGACGAAGCTCGTTTGCGATTTGACGTTCGATGAGGTTACTCAAGTTTGAGATGGCAGGGTTGACAACTGACCCCGCAGCAGCGACTACCATGGCCTCAAGATTGCCGATCTTCTTGACGATCTGATCAACCAGCGGCTGAACTGTCTGGGGTTGTTTCAAAGCTCGAGACACTGAATCGGCCACTTCCTTTGAGAGCTGGGGGCCCAGGGCGGACTTGAGATTATTCTGAAGACCTTGCTCGACAGTAGCCGAAGTCTTCGCCAGAACTTCGGGAAGCAAAACGTTACGGATGTTGTCATCAACCATCTTCCTGATGACACCTTCCACGTTCTCGTTTAGTGTGCTAGAGACCATGCGTAGTATCGCTTCTTGCTTGGCACCATTCGCGGCGTTGAGAACGCGCTTGTCTTCGTCGAATCGCTTATACATGACATCCAACTCGCGAGAGAAGCCCTTGCTGATCTCAGCTTGAAGAATTTCCTCAAGCTTTGACGAGTCTATTGGACCAGCAGAAGTGTTGCCAGCAGCAGCAGCAGCCGCAGCAGGAGCAGCAGGGGTTGATTGCTGGATATGCTTGTTGATAAGCTGCTTAGCCCACTCGGGCGCTTCTGTTGTTGTCTCTGTGATCTTGGCGTTGGAAGGTTGCGCCTCAGGAGCAGCCTCTATGAGTGCAGGAGACTTGGACGCAGGAAGCGCCTGTGCAGCTTGGGCATACGACGGAGGTATGGCCGTAGGTGCGCGAGCAACTGATGGAGCCACTGATACTTGAGAAGCTGCTTCTGCGGCGGCCGTGCGCTTCTTCTTTTTCTTCTCAGCCTTCTCACTGCCACCGTTCATGATGGCTGCACGAGCCGCATCTTGCTTGCTCTCGACCTTGGCTAGGGTAGATGCGCGCACAGCAGCCTCTGGGTTCATTGAGTGCTTAGAAATGTTGCTGCTCTCTCTCTTCAAAGTTTCGCGAACAGACCGGTCTGAAACAGACTTGGGTGCAGGAGTGTCTCCAGTAGTAGATGACTCATCTGTAACAGGCTGTGGCGCCTTGAGTGTTGAGATGGAAATGATACCCTCCTCCTCGGCTTCCTTGGGATGAATTGGTTCACCTTCCTTCTTCCAGCCAAGGTCGCTTCTACGAATACGCAAGACGCACACTCCCTTGGAGTGCATGACGTACAGCTCAAAGAGGGCAGCATTGTCCGGGTCATCAACGTCTGCAGGACCGGCAGGCTCATTGAGCATGTGCAGGCTTCTGATCTGGCCCTTTGGAGCGAACGAGTACTCTGTGATACTTGTCATGATGGCCGTAGCATTGACTGGAGGTAGAGGGTTCTGGCCCTTGTCGCCCTTGTTAGCCAAGCGAGAGATGTAGGCTGCTTGACTCAGAACTGGCAGGTTGTAACGCGGGCATGACACATGGACGAAGAAGATTGAGTTCCTCGTAGGATGGGCAACTGCCATAATGCCGGTTCGGGGGTGGAACGATACGCTGCAGATAGCATCTGATTCGTTCTCATGAGGCAAATGGATCTCCTGAACGGCCTTGTTGAGACCAAGATCCCACAGCTGGAAAGCGTGGTTCTGTTTCATACCGACCATGACATAACGCAGCGCAATACCCTTAGTGTAAGGCTTGTCCTTGTCAAAGAAGAAGACCGAGGTGGGCCATGACTTGGCGTTCGGCGTCGTAGTGTGGAACTCGAGCAGGGTCTCAGAGACCTCTACCTGTCGGGGTGGGCTGCGAGGGTTGCCCAGGTCAGGCTCGGTCAAGCTACGGATATCCCAGAAGCGCATGCGGCCAGCTTTGTCCAATGAGACAATGATGGTGTCGTCCTCACTGAAAGTGAAGTCCTTTCCAGCCTTGCCAGTAAGAATCTTGAGAGAACGCTCCTTGAGATACTTCTCGGTGTGACAGATGCGGCTCTTGGTGCGAGCGTACTCTGCAGCAACTCGAGGAAAAATGATGTGGATCGACTTGCCTCGGCCAACAGCGAAAAACTCGGGGTGTCGTGAGGATGGCTTGGCGCGTGTCTTGAGCTGACCTCCAGATGTGTTATCATCTTGGGATGGCGACGGAGGAAGCATTAGGCCCTGAGAGTCAAGGTTCTCGCCGAACTGGTCCTCACGGGCAGGGTCGAGGGATGTCCAGAAGACAGTACCGTTGACTCCTATGCCAAGGATGCTCTCAAGTGGCTGTTGTGCATCATCTGCAGAGGTGCAAAGAGCGATGTTGAAGATGCGCTCTTGATGGTTCTCAAATACCTGGCGATAATGTCCGTTCTCCTGACGAATGATACGGAAACCACCCTTTTTGACGAGAGCATAGACAATGAAGTTCTTGCTAGCAGCAACGAGAGATCGGTCAATCTGATCAAAGTCCTTCTTCAAACGAGCAATGTCCATAAAGAGCTCGTTGCTGAAGTAAAGATTGCGGGGCGGCATTTGGTTGACCTGGATGGAAGCGAAGGCACGCATGGGGAATCTGTAGACTATTACCGTCTGATCATCACCCTTAGCAAGGCTTTCTTCGGCTTCGGCAGTTTCCCAGTTCTCAGCGACATTGTCTTCAGCAATCTCGGTAGCGACATCCTTCAAAGCAGCCGCAAGTGGCTTTGAAAGACTCGCTTCCATCTCCTTGGCCTTGTTGGGGTCTTCGAAATCTTCCTTGATCTCGGTAGCAATCTCTGTCATGACCTCTTGTACTTCTTGAATCTCAAGATTCTCTCCCTTTGCCTCCTCGGGCAACGGTGTAATTGACTTGCTCTCAGCTTCGGCAAGCGCATCCTCGACCTGCTGCCCTACTTGCTCGCCCAAGTCATTCACGGCTTCAGCCACAGACTCATGTACGTGGGCTGGAGTGTCCTCGTCGGCCGGCGGAAGAGGAGCTTCCGGAGCGTTCTTCTTGAGGATCTCGACCTTTGGGGCTGGTGGCTTGGAGCCTTGCTGGACAGGAGTACGGTTGCGCGGGCTTGCAGCTTCAAGTTGATCAAACGGATTGACGTAGGTAAACTTTGGAGCGAGCGATGAAGCTTCGTTGCTGTTGGAGCCAAAAGCCTTTGTGGAGGAGGCAGATGTTCCCGGTGCGGGGGCGACGGGAGAAGCAGATACCTGCTCAAGCTCAGCGTCGGCGAAATCTTGCACGACGTCGTCCACAACCGTTTCAGGCTTGTTAGACGCGACAGGCGGCGAGAACGCGGCTGAGACAGGCCGGGATGAGCGACCGCTTGACTGGGCTGGCTTGGGATGGTTGAGTAGGCGGAGGAGCAGGTCCTGTGGGTTCTGCTGCTGCGAAGGCACGGGCGCCGGCATAGCCTGAGCTTGAGAGGAAGCGCTCTGGGATGACGTCCTACCGCCACCCATCATGCTTGCCATCAAATCAGACGTCTGAGCCAGTGACTGCTGCGAAACGCGTCTGGAGTGCGCAGAGCCAGACTGTGAGTTGAAGCGCAGTAGATTCAGAAGGTTGGTCGACTGCTGCTGTGGCGTCTGGTGCGACACATGGCTTTGTTCGGGTGCAGGCGTACTCGCCATGGACGTGTTGGGTGACATGACGGCAGAATGGTGATGAGGCTGTGGGCCACTCGGTAGGGGAGAGAAGATGGGCGACGAGACAGAAGGCGGCTGATAGCCGTGCTGCTGCTGCTGCTGCTGCTGCTGCTGCGATTGCTGTTGCTGTTGCTGCTGATTGCTAGAGGCGCCACCTTGGAGTCGGGCAAACAGCTCCTGCAGGTCGGCCATGGTGAGGGATCAAAGGGCAGATCTAGTCTGTTATTAGTAAAGGCGGAAAACGCACGCATCTCACTGCTGGCAATGAGAAGCTGACACTGTGGGCGACGTACGTTACTCAATACCCAAAATTCGCGTGCGCGGCCGAAGCCCTGGGTCCCGTAAAAGCTGAACTAAGAGAAAAGTACCGTGTAGGAAGAAAACGACTTGGGGATAGACAGAAAATGCAAGTGACGAGCTGCGATGAAGCGCAGTTGTCAATTGACGGTGCAAGAAGGAAGCTCGACAAGTTTGAGGTGACTTGGTTGGCGCCGACTGCTCCAAGCTACTACGCTAGCGCAATTGGGACGGCCGCGGCGGAGCTCCGGGACCGGGTGGCACGTCACCACGTCACGACAACAGACGGCCTAGTCGCGCCTCTGACTTTCACTCTGCAGTGCCAAGCCTGGCCACATCATATCTCTCATGTAGCCGCCTCTCCATCCGGCCTTTCTATCTTGCAATTATAGGCCACCGTTTGCCCATTCCTCCTGCACCACCAGTCGCCTCTATCACCCCACAAAGCTAAGTGAAGGAAGTGAAGGTGTCCCTTGTTCGGCTATGTAGGTTTCATGGGGACTTGGGAAGCCATCTGGGCATTCTTACTTTTATCTTTACTATACAATTTCCAGCTTTACCTCACTGTCTGGATTATACACCATTACAAGGATTTACCGAAAGAACTGGCACCCTGTATAAATTATGAACACAAAAAGAAAAACTGCTTCATCTGAGGCAGGTACCAAAAGGCTTCTGGCAACCCATGATGCTCATGCACGAGATAACGCTGAAGGTGCACTGTCCGCTCCGGCTGCAGCATCCGCCAAAGCGCGAACCCCTGCACGTGTAGCCAGTGTTTCCTCCACAGCGTCCATTCGGTGACGTCTTGAGGGGGGTAGATGTAGCAACGGGGGCTGAAGATGTGCGAGTGCTGGTTGCTGAGGATCTTTGGGTACTGGTCGCTGGGCGAGTAGACGTGGTCATACTGCGTGTTGAGCTAGTTGCAGGGACACTGGGAATCGGGATAGATGCCGAAGATGCGCATCGACCAAGAAGAGGGTTGCAGCCGGTTCCACAGTGGTCAGCGCTCGAGCCGCACCAGCCATATCTATGCAAGCTTCGTCAGCTACATGGTCTCGGTGAAAAAAAGAAAGAGACAGACTTACTGCGAGCAACATTCGCCCTCAAAGTAGCCGACACATGTGTAGCCTTTTTCACCACCACACGAACCATCTTGGGACACCCCGTTGGAGGGGTTGGGAGTTGGAAGAGCGGACCCAGTGCTGGAAGCTGGCTGAGTAGGCCCACTGGCGGTTGAAGACGCGGGGCTGGCAGGTGCCGAAGATCCAGCGACTGAGCATTTGCCAAATTTGGGGTCACAGCCTGTTCCACAGTGACCCGCAGTGTTTCCACAGAAGCCATACTGGGAGCAGCACTCTCCTTGAGCAAATCCTGTTGGGTTGGTTAGCGAGAGTCAGATCCATTCATGTTTACCAATCTTACCGAGACATGTGTAGCCCACCTTGGAGCCGCAAGAACTGTCAGGAGACACGGCCGTAGGAGTGACGACAGCGCCGCTAGACGTGGCGCTGGCGGCTCCTGAGGCAGTGGAAGAACCAGGTGGTGTGAATACAGACGATGAAGCTGGTCGGTCGGTGGGAGTGCGGTACCAGTTTGCCTCCGGTTCACCCAAGCATTCACCCAATGTGACCAGCCTGTATCCCTTTTGTGTCATCAAATCGAGCATGTAGCCTGTGAGATTCTGTGCCGTCTGCTGGTGGATATCGTGCGCAATAGCCTGGAAATTGTCTTCGGTCGGATTGCTCGGATTAATCACAGCACTGACTCTGTTCTTGGAATTCTGAATCAGATCAGGTGTTACATTGTTATAGTCTATTGGTTGTTAGCAAGGCTGATGCTGATAAGAGTATATGTGGAGTATCTCTAACCATCAGTGCTAATCCACAAGTCAGCGCGCGATTTCAATATTATGTTTCAGGGTGCTTACTCAAGATCAAAGTAGGAAACAACATATCCTAGGTCTGCAAGATCCTTCTGGCATCCTGATGCGGCAGTGCAAGATGAGTATGGCGGACGCATGTACGTCGGGAATTTACCGATGATGTTTGTGAGGGCCATCTAGAAGTACAAAGTCAGTTGAGTAATCGATGTCGTCCTATGTCATCACTTACTTCATTCCTGACCATCTGGTCATAACGCTGCTCTTTTGTAATGGCACTAAGATCCTGATGAGACCAAGTATGGCTGGCAACTTGATGTCCCTCGGCGATCATACGAGATATGATAGAGGGCCATTGTGTGCTCTTGTCGTCAATTGCACCTTTGTTAATGTTGATACCAGTGACAAAGAACGTCGCTTTGGCATTGTAGGCTGCGAACTGGTCGAGCACACCGCTGGTGTAGATATATGGACCGTCATCGTAAGTAATGGCAATAGTGTTCGGTTCGACGCAATCATAAATGCCTTCGCCACCATATGGCTGGTTGCCAAGCTTCGTACGAGGAGTGTTGCGGGTGCTACCTCCAGTAGGAACTTTGTTGGCATCACAGGCAGGACCATACTGGAAGCGGCAGTCTGGTGCTGCGCAGTAGTCCGCTAATCAGACATGTAGCATTAGCTTGTTGTTCATATCAATCAGACACTCGGAATCCTTACATCCTTGTCCGCAATAACCTGCTGTGGAGCAGCAGTATCCTTCAGCGCAGCTTGCGTTACCATGATCAGCTCCACATCGACCACTAGCACCGCCTTGACGCTTGCTGAGAGCCTTCTCAGGACCAGCAACCCTGGGAGCCCGACTGTCGAGAATGTTCCTACTCCTTAGTTTACCAATATCTTTCGACCCAGATCCAACTATCTTTGGAGTGTGACCACCGGCGTGAGCAGCCACAAGAGGCGCCAACAGCAGCGCTGCAGACAACTCTGTGAAACGCATGATCCGAGTTGATTTGAAGCGATCGACTGTCTCAGACTCAAGCGCGGTAATGAGAAAACAAGCGAGTGTGTGGGTGAATGATCGACCGGTATTATGTATGATGCAAAAAAGGCGATACTTAAACGAGTGACAGACCCCTTTGACGGAACAAAGAGAGGGGAAGGGTAACCAAGAAGCAAAGATTACCGCATGACCGAGTACTTATGATATATGTCCATTTGCGCACAGCCAAGACTGGACTGGCTTTGCCCAGGGTTCGGGGAATAAAAATCAATATCGATGCCGATTCAGCGTGTAGCGTGCTTGGCTGTGGACGGCTCAGCCCCCAGCGTGTGTCAGATGTTGCAATGGCTGACCTTAGGCACGGATAATGTTGATTAAAGTCATGAAGTCACTACGTGCGGGTATGTCTAGTTACACAGTCGGTTGACATGTGCCAAATGTCTCTTGTCGCAGTGAAGTTTGCAACTACTTTTGTAGACCGTTGGGTTGAGAGACATAGTAAGCTCCCTATCGCCCGAAGTGTAGGTATTGCGAGGATACCTCATTATCAATATTACTTGCGGTGCTATTACAAAGTATGATTGTCCTGTAAAGGTTTAGGGGCACTATGGCTTTCCCTCAGCCAAGAAGATGCCCCTGGCTTATTTCCTGATGGAGGCGCGGATCCTATTAGCGTCCGCGCTTCGCGTAAACAAGAAACATCAATGATCCCAATTTTGGAGTTCCTGGTTCGGTCCAGACTGTATGTAGGATACCTGCTCTTCTCTCACGCCGTGCTGCATGGATGCGCATGCCGAATTCAGGGCTCTTCGACTGCCGGATGGTCTTTTCTTGGTAGCAATAAATCGGCGCTTTATCTTCAGAATGACCGGACTGTTTTATCTTGTAGGGAACCTCTTCTGCCATACTGCCCATTGGTACGTTCGTTCCGATGGCTGGGCAGAATCTTATTCAGAGTTCCATCATTGCCGATAAAAGCGTTGACCGCCGTCGTTTCAAATGGCGATGCGGACGCCTGACGGACGTGTCTTGCCTCAATACCGAGCAACCACGTTGAGCATTGTGATAGCTCATTAGAATACAGGATTGTTGTTACAAAGTCTTTTCTACGGGTCGTTTGTGTATTCCCTGGTATTTGGCTGGTGTGGGCAGTGTTGGTGGAAATGAGGTATCTTTCTTCTGCGTACTACGGACCCGATACCGATGCAAGCTGCCGGAGGCCCCAGCGCTAACTTTTGTTGCTGGGATCGGCAAGATGGAAGAAACAAAAATAGGATCATAAGGAACTTTGGCACGCGAGCGACCCTTGGCCTGGACTGTTGAGATATCAGGGACCGTTGTACAAAGTGCCACAGCAGTTGTGTATTCATCATACGGTTTGCAAACAAAGATATCCAGTCATGAACTTCGTAGCGATCATTCTGATATATTTTCCTCTTTCGGTATATCATCCATCTAACTAAGTCTTCGGCCACGTCCAACTCCACAGTCGCTTCGCTTTAGGGAGTGGTGCTGTAGAGCGAGGATATGTGGAAAAAGAGATACTGTATACTGATTCAAGAAAAGCCTCTAGGGCTCTTCTCTCGACTCGGCATCGCATTGATGAAGTCCCCTTAACCTTAACGCGATAAGGCGCGGCGCACAGACCAGCTGCTTACCGTGGTGCAAAAAAGGAGCCCCTCCACCTAGGGGACTTCGCGTAGTCCATCACAGACGTGAAAAAAGAAAAGAAAAAATGAAATGGACTCGCGGGGAATCGAACCCCGGACCACTCCCAGGCGTCGTCTTGCGCTTTTGAAGGCGGAAGAACTGATGCTAAGGGAGTATTATACCACTAAACCACAAGCCCGATTTCAAGCTTGTTGCTTGACTTGATGTAAGAACAACAGGTTTGGCAACTTATGATATAGGTGTTGAAATTGGAACGGCGGCGAGAGCAAAAGGGGACTTCAGACTGCGGTGGGTCGGTAGCGGTGGGGTTCTTTGGGGTGGAGAGAGCAGACTAGACACGCTTCTAGACCCTTGGTGTAGGTATCGGGCCTACAAACTTTTTCTGGTATGGCCTTCTGCACTTTATGAGAACTTCACGCGCAGAACTTCAGTGTTGGTGTTCCGCGGTATGTAGCCCGGCCGTCGTTTCTTATTGCGGCAATGCGATATTCTTCCCAGATCAGCTAGAAATCCATAACAGCACATAACTCGCAGTATCAAATCACGGTGTCGTGAATTCCTTGTGTCTACTAGGAGAAGACTCCTGGTGCTTCAATAGCAAGTTAAGGCCCTGCCCGTATTATTCACTATGCAACAAAAGCCATTGGGATCTGAAGCAATACTAATAGCCTACATTCCATAGCAACGATTCTGGCGATTCAATGCCCACACTCATGCATGTAATTGACCCTTTGAAGTTATTGAGCTTGCGGTAGTGGCATAGTGGGCAGTCGATGGTTCTGATAGATCAAGACACACCTTGTGCTACCAGACCACAGAATGCGAGCTTTTGGCACAGGCAGATGCAGCCTCTGGTCTGAGCAGCCTCATCACAGGCACCCACGCACACGATTGCGTCTGAGGGACGGGCGCATCGACCCGCTCGGGGCTGGTCGGCGGCGATAATATTATTCGCATATCATGGCACCACGTGTGCGATGGGTTGCACGATCTATCTCTGCCCGGTTAGCTGCATGAACAGCCGGAGATCTGCACGAGGCCTGTCAGGCGATGGCACCCTCTCCAATGACGTCGGGCTGGACTTAGAGAAGACGCCCCAATCACGCGGGGATCCAGGCCTCAGCACGCCGTGGCGCGGACCGAAGACAGTCGCTCCGGGCCCTTTCCGCACGCAAACCATAATAAAAACGGTCCCTTATTCCAACAAGCATCCCGACCCACACACTGGGAAGGAGCAAACGACGAGCTAGACCGCATTTCGCTTAGACTAGCGCAAACACAACCGCGGGCACATATTTTCTCTGCCCTGGTGGTGCCCCTCGGTTCCTCCTACAACGATCCAAACTCATCAATTGGTGCCAGTACGATTCAATCGACCCTTTGAATCTCTTACCAGAAGACACCGTCTTTCAACGTCACTCCCTCCATTACTCGTACGACACTTCCAGTAAGACCAATGCCCGCACCATGTGCCATGCGACTGCGAAGTAATATCTGACAAGCATAGATCTCTTCCACAAACTCAATCATGGAATACCAAGCACCTGCTCCTGCTGCTGGCGCCGGCGGCCGTGGCTGCTACAACTGTAAGTTGAATATTACCTGCGTTACCAAACGGCTCCCTCGCCACTGTGACCCCGCAATGGTCGACTTAGCGAGCCCTGGATTTTCTTGTACACCAAATGGGCAAGATACCAGTCGCTTTCTTGAGCAGCAAACTCAGTCGCCATTTCTGTCCTTTGAGCCGTCGTTTGCACCTTCACACGCTGTACGCGCCTTTTGCTAACAATGTGCAGGCGGCGATGCGTCTCACCGCGCTGCCGAGTGCCCTACCAAGGGCACCCCAACCTGCTACAACTGTGGCGAGAAGGGTCACGTTAGCCGTGAGTGCAGCTCTCCTCAGGCTGAGAAGACCTGCTACCGCTGTGGCGGCACTGGACACATCTCTCGTGAGTGCACCAAGGACGGCGGTGCCCCAATGGGAGGCCGTGGTGGCGGCAGCCAGGAGTGCTACAAGTGCGGCCAGGTCGGTCACATTGCCCGCAACTGCTCCCAGGGAGGCGGCTACGGCAACGGTGGCTTTGGAGGAGGTCGTGGTGGCTACGGCGGCGGTGCCGGTGGCTACGGTGGTGCTCGCCAGACCACCTGCTACTCGTGCGGTGGTTTCGGTCACATGAGCCGTGACTGCACCCAGGGCCAGAAGTGCTACAACTGTAAGTGGATACGGCTGGCAAAAGATGACTGTCACTGACTTTGTTTAGGCGGCGAGGTTGGCCACTTGTCTCGTGACTGCCCCCAGGAGACATCTTCTGAGCGTGTGTGCTACCGCTGCAAGCAGCCTGGCCACGTCCAGAGCGCCTGCCCCAACTAGAGTGGTTCGAGGTGCCGTCGATGTTTTGATCTAGAATGAGTTTCGATGCACCAGCCTGCCTTCATGCAACTGTGACGGCAGGTCGGGATTAGGGTAGCAGAGATTGCGCCCAGGCTGTGACGAATCATCGACATGATTACGATTTCCTTTCTTGTATATTTTCATTCTGCGGCTCGCTGCCGTTTTTCGACGCTTCACGAAAAGCATATCGTCGCCCGGGCATGATTGGACGGCCTTTTCCTGAGTTGGCAGTTCTGTCAAGAGAGTTGGTTATCGGAAAAGTCTTGATCCAGGAAGAGCGTTTGGTGGGAGATACAAAAGTGGGTGGATAGGAGAGCGGATCCTTACGCGAGCAATGAATGGAGCAGTGCGTGGTCTGCACGTGGACTGTGACTGTAGGAGAGCGACGTCTCTTTTGGCGGATGGCTAGTCTTTGGGTTGTGGCCGAGCAGCCAAAGACTCTGACTGAGGTTGAATAAAGACACGAGAAAAGTCCCCACGATTGGGTGGGCTCCTCAACTTATACCCGCGCCAATTTCGTGCACCGTGATGGACGTGCGCTAAGCCAGGTTAACCTGTGTACAGGATAGTTGACATGCAGTACTCAAGGAATGTGTGGGGGGCACGGAGCTACAACGGGCAAACTGGGTAGCCTATGCGAGGGAGAGAGTGGTTGGAATGGGAATGGGAAATGGCGTGATGTGGTGCATGGTTAGGGTTCACGGTAAGCTGTGTATTGGAGAGTTTGTGATTGAGATACCGGCAATGTGCAATTATGTCATATTTCCATCTTTTAGCAGCAATGGCCTAATGGTATTCTTATGCCCGCACTGGTGGTGGTGCACTTTCTGCGTTGACGTTCGCCAAGCCCAGGTACGCCCGCGTATGTTCGTTTACATCCCACCCAAGCCCAAACAACATATGTTCAACCAACGGCGCCCACGACTCGACACACCACCAACGACGCGTCAATCGCAGCAACACGCGTACCCGGTACCACCACTCACTCCTTTACAAAATGGCGCCCCCAAAGAAGCGCGAAAATCGCGAAAATAATTACTACAACGTCGGAGTACAAGGAAGGCACGTAAATGCACTTTGCGACTTTGCGCGCGCATGCTAACATTGCGCAGAAAGACAGGCATCACTTTGGCAGACAAGGGCGTTTATGACGAACATGGCCTCGAACCAATTTCTGGCATTTTCTCATCTCCCGAGAAGTCTCCACCCAAGCGCAATGGAAACGCGACAGGATCAGAGTCGATGGAACTGCAGGAAAGTGCGTTTGTTCCACAGCGCTCGTCAAGTGCAATGTTGCGCGTGCAAAAGATTGTATTCTGACACTACAATCAGGCTCGATTCCAGACTTCACCACATCCAACCAACTCCTGCGCAGCAATCGAACAAACCTCCCTCCGCCTCGATCGCGCTCGCCCAAAAAGACTCACCTTGGTTCCTCGCCACGACGACAATCTTCCATGGTGCCAAGAGGAAGCTCGGCCGCCCCTTCTAGTCCCATTCGCGCTTCGTCACATCCGATTGCAAGGCGGCTTGATTTCGAGCAAGACGAGTCCAGCCTGCAAGAAACACCGGCACTGAGTGGATCAGGTGCGCGACGCGGAAGACGTTCAGATGTGTACGATATCCCCGAGGATGGCGAAGAATCCCCACTTCCAGAACCGAGTGCGATGATGGAAGAGAGCATGGTCCAGCAAGAACTCATGGCGAATGAGGCATCCGCCATTTTTGCAGAAGAGAGTTTTGTTGCACAGATTGGAGAAGAATCAATGGCTGACGAGGAGGCTGTCGAGGAATTGGTTGATGAGGAAGAGTCGGAAATTGTCACAGAACCTGTTAAACAGCCAGTCAAGAGGGGCAGAAAGCGCAAAAGCGACGCTGTAGATAACCCAGAAGAGCAGCCAGAGGTTGCAGAGAAGTCACGGAAGCGCGGACCTGGGGCACAGGCGTCAGAATCTCTCAAAGGCAAGAAGAATGGGCCTGCGCCTACTGTCCAGCGACGGAGATCTCAGCGTGTCTCTGATATTAGTGAACTAGAAGCCAGTGCTAGCGAACTGCCTGCCGACACTACCTTGGACGAATCTGAGCAAATCGACGAAGCACCAGTGGCACCGAAACGTCGAGGGCGCCCGCCACGCGCACAGCCTGCTGCAGAGAAAGAGAACACAGTGGCATCAAAACCGGCAAAGAATGCGGCTACGAAAGAGAAGAACGAAGGAGCCTTCAAAAAGCCTGGAAAACCTCCCGGAAGACCCAAAGCCAACGCCGAGCCCAAGAATAAACCGCCAGCCGCCGAACCCAAGGCCAAACCAGCACCAAAGACGAAGGAGAGCTCAAAAGCGAAACCAAGAGAGAAGGCACCTTTAATTGATGATGTCGCTGCTGGCAAACTTGTGGATGTATACGGAAACCCTCTGAGCAAACAAGACATTGACCAGATGTCAACTACGTCAGCCGGGTCAAGATTTGGACGTGGGCGTCATCTCTCCGTCTTCCGAGAGATAGATCCAGAAAACGTTGCTCGTGTTGGACGAACAGGCAGGCATCGGGTCGCGCCAATTGATTTCTGGAAGAATGACCACATTTCTTACGACGTTGACGGAAGCATGACATCGATTGTGAAGAGCGCGGCAGTAGAAGAGACACGGAGACAGAACAAGAAGTACGGACCCAAAGGCAAGAAGAAGAGGCTCACAATGGTTGAAGAGGAGGAGATTGAGCTGGATCCTTGGGAGGAGAAAGATGGCAGGCTCGTGGGTAACTACAAAGGCTACGATCCAGCCATTAACAGTGCCTCTGATGAGATTATTGAAGACGGCAAGTTCAATTTTATGCAGGTACAACAAGTCTTTTTTGCTGACTTTTGATCACAGATATTGCATGGGCGGAGAAGGGCATCCAACCGCGAGAAGTCGGCGACGGCGGATTCAAATTCGCAAAGATTGGCTCGAGCGGCTCCTTCTTCAACTGGGGACTCATTGAGCTGGGTCCTGACCAGATGAAGCGCACAAAGAACTCACGATTTATGCACATGGTCTTCAATGTGCAATCGGGCACCGTCGAGGTCCGTGTTCACGAGAACGAATTCACGATTCACAAACATGGCATCTGGCAAGTGCCTCGAGGTACGTTTAACTTTTCATCTCCTTCCTTTCTCAATCGTTTCCCCACACGTCGTTCCCTTTCAGTAGTTCTGTTCCGTTCTTTGCATTTTTCTGGTTTCCCGCCCTTTGCGCGTTCTGCACAACGCGCCGTCACTTCACGCTCGACGCTAGAGCAAACATGATGCACAATGCATCCCACTTTTTTCTTCGCACTTACGCGCTCTCTCGACATGTCCTGCAACATCACACGGTCCCCAGGAACACATAGCAGCAGCGAGCGGACCCATCATGTGGGGGCCAAGCGAGAGGGCGCCTATTCTCGTCACATGCGGAGCTACTGCCGTTGTCTGCGTGGTGCATGGGGCTGCGTGGGTACCTCACTTGCATGTTGCGTTTTACCCCCCAATTTGGAGACGGCGAGTAGCGTTGTGTGCCCTTGGCTTGGCTGGACCTTTTCCTCCGATTCGACTGCTGGCTGCTGCGCAAACGACAGGTACTTTCGTTTGAGGCGGCTACCGCGCGCGTTGTGTGGACCTCTCTCTCCTCAACAACGCAACGAACATAGAACGCCTTTGGCTGTTGTTGTTTCTTCGCTTTGCAGCCAGCCCCCAGTTTTTTTTTCGCAGCCCCGTTTTCGTTCTCGCCTTCCCTTTCGCTTATTTTCCCCCTTTTCTCCATCACTTCCGTTGTTGTTGATGCTTTGCGCTCTTGACGCGCTTGCCGGTCACAACATACCGCGTTTCGCGCGCTGATTGGCCCCGCTGGTTTCTCCATTTCTATACATCACATGAGGTATTTTTTAAGGGAAGCTGTTGGCTAATTTATTCCATCAGGGAATACGTATAGTATTAGGAACATTGGGTCTGGAACAGCCCGGGTTTTCTTTGCGCAGGCAAAGGAGAAGTTTGTGGATATTGAGGAGTAGATTTGGGGCTGAGGGTTTTTTTCTCTGGTGTTGAGGGTTTGGTATGGTATGACATGGGACAGCATAGCATGGTATGGCTGGGTTCTCAATTTACCTTCATAGTCAGTAGCATGACTTGTTTTGCGGGGATTCCTACATCTCAACTTCTTCTTCTTCTTCTTCTTCTTCTTCTTCTTCTTCTTCTTCTTCTTGCCCATGCGATGCATCAGCAGTGTACCGGAGAGGACGAGACTCCTAGCAGTATATGCATATTCACTTCATAACAACTACATGCCTTATCCCCTCCCCCTTTCAGCCCTTTTGTGAAATACCACATCTTCACTCTTCTTTGCTACAAACTACGCAGTACTGTACGCGAGCCTATGCACTCCTACCATTCAAACGGTCATGTATACAAATGCTTTCTTTTTTTGTATTGTCTATATGCACATATCAAAACATACATGTAAACATGTATATCCCTTCACCTTTTTTTCCTCTCATATTCTTAAACACTTCCTTCTTTTTCCTACACGTCTAGCTGGGACCTCAACATCTCATCTCCCCCACTCCGTTTTGTCTGTCGGTTGGAGTGTTATCAAACTACGTTACCCACGGTGGCGTGTATGGACTGAATGCGGATATATTCACATCTGCATTTTTTTTATTTTCTCTCTATTTACACACACAAGCTTCTTACATGCCTTCCCCGCCGCAATTCCACTCATGGGGGGGGGGGAGTCTTAGAGCGTACATATTTTGTGAGGTTGACTGGTGTGCATCTCCCTGTCCCTCTTTTTCCCTTTTGCAGTGTAGATATACATAACATAATACATGTGTAGTGTGTTTTTAAATGTCTCGTCCACTTGGGAAGTTATGTAATCTAGTTTAAAACCTCCGGTTTCTCGATTTATTTTTATTTTTTCCCCTCCTAAACGCATTTTACCTTTATGATGATTAAGTTTGGGTATGTTGGAGATGAGATATACGACTAAGTGAATGAGAGAGAAAGGGATGGCCGTACAAGTCTTGGTGAAGATAAAGTAGTACGGCTCTCAATTTTTTCGAAGAAACGATATCGAGGGCTTAGGCTTGAGTACGACTCCACGCCCATCCAGTGCATCCACACTCCTCTATCTAACCTACAACCGCGTATCTAGCTAGAGTGCGAGTGATGGATGCATATCGTCTCCGCATCGCGATCACCATATCTCATTACGATACGAAGTGTTGGGGTTGAAGTAAGTCGTGATCGAGATGGAGGTAGAGGCAAAATGTAATTGAGCTAGAGTGGAAGCAAGGGTGTTTGAGATGTGGAGAATATGTAGGCGATACGTGGCCGTGGGTATAAAGGCTTATTTCGCATTTTGAGTATGTATGGGTATGGGGCTTGCAGGGTTTGAGATGAAGGTGCTAAGGTGTTTGTTGTTGGGATTGTAGGTGAGGGCTTGAAGTGGTTAGGAGAGTGGTGAGTATGATGGGAGTGAGTTGTGGTGTAAGATGTAGTTTGGTATTTTCTATATACTACTTTTACTTGTAAAGGGTATCAATATGGGTATCATTCTTTCATCATCCGAATTTGCAACGTGGAGAAACACGTCCAGGCTCAGACATCGAGAACTGCACCACACACAATCATTTCGCCAAAGACGAAGACTACAAACATTCTGCATAATCTTCTCACTCACCTCAATATCCAAGCGGTGTACACCTTCAAGGCGGTGTAACTCAGCCTCAACGCCTCTACCAAATACCAAGCTGATACTACATGCAGCCACAACATATGTACGTCCCAACTTTTCGCAAAGACCTTGCATGCCATGCACAAGCGGCAACTAGCAGCAGCGACATCAACGTGACACAAAAGCGGACATTTCCGGTAGCGAGGGTATCGTTTCCAGCTTAGTGGAGAGCATGCAGAGAAACGCATGGAAAGTGCAAGTAAGTAAAAATGAGGTCGTCTAGCTCTAGGCGGTGAGAAGCGGTGTAGATAGATAGGGCGGGCGGGCGGGGCCCTGCATCACGTAGGCCCTACATGAACGTTCCTGGCGTAGTTTGTCTTCCGGTGAAGATGGAGACTGACAGAGCGACGGCGCCGAGAAGGGAAGTGGACGCTTGTGGGCTTAGCAGAGTAGAGAGATTTTGCAGTGGCCTCCAAGATAGATTACGGAGCGAGAGCCAGGCGACTGGGGCGTCTTGAGGCGGAACCTTGGGGGGAATTGCCAGACTGACATGGCCTTGTCGTGGCTTGAAAGTAGTGCGGCTTTTGTGGCGCTGCGTGACACCGCCTCTATGGAACAACTGGGCACTACGACAAACATAGAGGACAAGCGGTGGGTCGATGAAACTGCAATGACGTTAAAAATTGATAGCATTTGTGTCGTGTTGGTCGAGCTGAAGTCGTGTGGGCTGCCTTTGTCATCAGATCGGAAGATGGTATTTGGGGTTGTTGTCGCTTGTTAGTTTTAACTAGCGAAATGGCCAGTTTCCGCCTGGATTCTGAGGCCGCACAGCCCTAAAAATACTCCCTTAAACATACGTGCCGGCCACTGTCTCGTCATGTCGTTCGTCACAAGGGTAACCCCCTCTGACGACGGCCCGACAATTATGGCAGTCGAGGATTTCCTAGTCTGGCCCTATCGACGCCGTTGACGACATGTTTTGTTGTGTACGGGGAATGCCGGCATTGGAATCCGAGGTTTGATGCATGAATCGCCGTGTTGGTGCGCGAATTTGGGGGCATGAACGGATTCGGCCAGTTAAGCGGTTAACTTCCTGATTAAGTTCCGATGAACTGGCAGCGAACTACTCGATCGGCGATATTTGGGCAAGCGTGGTCCTTGGAGCTATTGATAGTCTAGCACAGAGGGCGTGGGGCCAGTGTAGCATGTAAGGCACAAAGACTGTTTCGGCTGCAATACGCCGGGCAGGGCCTGGGAGATATTCAGTGCAAAACTCATTGCATTGTGCCGAACGAGTCGTGGTTTTGATGCAAGTGGCACGCCGGGGGGCCTCGGGGTGTTGCGAGGCGCGCGCGACTCAATATGCCATTGTTGGATGGGTTTTATCGACCAAAAAGCATGCACTGCGACGCTTCAGGCCACGTTCCAGGGTAGGCGGTAACGGCGATGCAACGGTGTGCTTTTTGGGGGCACCCAGGTAGTGGGTGAACGGGCATGGCGTGGACAACAGGGCTGGGTGCAGGCCAAATTTGCCCGTTGCAGTGCCGAAATTGAACGGATGACGGGTGCATGTTTCCTGAGACGAGCTTCTGCTTGAACGCTAGCGTGAGCGCGAAGAAAGGGCTGGCGATGGGGAGAGCAGACGAGAGCAGGGCAAACGTGTGGGTGGGGAGGGCATCTGGAGCCATGGTTCATGACTGGTGGACATGGCAGTGGTTGCGACATGGAACGGCTTTGGATGCCCCTTGGTGGGCTTGGGTCCGAGGCAGCGATCAGCGGTCCCGGGCGATCAGAAAGTCGCGTGTTGGATCCATCCATCCAGCGGCGAGCGGGACCATGGCCGCGAAGCCAAAAGCAAGGCAGGGAAGAAAAAAAAGGAGGATTGCAGGCACAGGCACGAGGACGGGGTGCGTGTGCGTGTGCAAGGGGCCAGGTAATGGTCATGTGATGGATGCGAGGAAAGGGAAAAAAAAGGTGCGGTAGGCTGGACGGGAACGCCCTGGCTAGCGAGGCAAGGACAGCCATGGCGGGGCTTGAGGAGAAGAGGCGGTGGTGAGGCTGGGCGTGCAGTGAAAGGGTGTCGTCATGTGCAGCGGTGGCATGAGTCGCGGTTGGCGAACAGGTGGGAAATTCAAGGATGCCTAGATAGGAAGGCTTCTCGAAGGCCCAGGGAAGAAAAGCCGTGCCATGGTCGTGTCATGGTGGTGGATGGGTGATTGGTGGCCTTGCCTGCTTACTACCTGAGAGAGTAGGTAGAGTACGTCTGTCTGGACAATGCGCAGCGTGCACGTCCACACATGTATGTAGTAAGTAGCAGGCGTACATGCTCATACCCATACCCAGGCGGCGGCTGCGACGATACACTACCACTTGGCCATGCACCCAGAGTCGGCCCGCCAAGCATCAAGATGGCGGCGGCGGCGGGCGTTTACACAGGCTGGCAGCTGGTGGTTCGGATCATGCGAACAGTACTGGGCGCATGCAGGGCCAAGCCGGGGGAAACAGTTTTACCAGCGAGCAGCGTCGAGGGCGTTCAGAGGCCAGGACGGCCGAGAAGACAGCACCGAAGCAAAAGCCGTCGCAAGTCGAAGGCAGGCCGTCTTCTGGCGTCATGGTGCATGCATTGACGGTGGGATTGGTGTGGGCGTGTGCGTTTGGTTATGCCTGAGGTTGTGACGACGACGGCTGGGGGAGCGGGCGACGGGTATGCCGTGCAAGGGGGGGTTGGGGACACACACCACTTGTCATACTAGCGGCCTTCTAGAACAAAAGAACCCCCAAGCCCGGCCACAAGAGTGCATGGCCTGACGCCCGGGGCACAAACTCTGCCTTGGGCCTGTCCGCTAGCCTGTTTCAAGCCCGTTCATGGCCGCCGACCGTGGGCGAGGGCGGGAACCGACGGTCCATGGCATCCATCAGCCTTGTGCCTCACTGGGCCCGGCAGCTTTGGCCATAGCATGGGAGGGAGGTCGGGGAGGGGGGGAGAAGACGAGGAAGCGAGCAGGAACAGGGGATACGAAGAAGAAAGGGGGGAGACGAGGAAGAAAGAAGCAGAAGCAGCAGCCTCCGACGTCGCCGTTGCCGAAGAACAAGAAGAAGAAGAAGGCTAAAAGGAAACAAAACAGGCGTGGTCTGATGGGACATGGGATGACGAGTGCGAGGAGTAAGTCGTCGCCCAAGGCCCGTCGAGTCGAGTCGAGTCCAGTTAGGACTGGATCTTTTGCTATCGATAAGCCAGCCCTACACGGGTCAAACATGGCAGGGCCGCGCAAGACCAGCCGTGCAATCTTTGCTTTTGCGGAGCTGAACACCCTCTGCAAGAACCATGACACACACACACACCCACACACCCACCCTCCAGCACACCACTCTCCCATCCACTCCCCCTCCCAAAATAGCCTAACCCCTAGCCACCATATGCAAGGACAGCGAACCGTTCATGCAACCCGCACTTGTTCTCTTTCTGCTCACCACATCCGCCCAATCACTAGCCCCTCACATGTCTCCAGTGGTAAGAGCCCTGTCTGCAGTCCACTGGCCAACGCACTCGACACCCTCCTCCCAATTTCCTAGCTGCAACACCCCCCCTCCCAGGCCACCCCCCCCAAACACGTCTAGAAAAGCCTACGACACATACTCTCACACACACTTTCTGATATTGGCGTCGGAAAATTTTTTCTCTTCAACCATGGCGTCGCCTCTAGAGTAAACTGCCCTTGCTGCGCGCAAACCCACCACACCCCTGCTTCATTGGAAGCGGTGACAGCGCAGCTACCCCCCCTCTACACTCACACACACTCACACACACTCACACACACACACACAAACCCCTCCCACCCCCCCTCCAGCGTCGGCCACGTAGACGCTGCTTGACCGACTTCTCGAGACTTGCATCGCCCGCTGTTACGTCACCGGCACCGCTTAGTTTGGGGCCCAAGACCAGCAAGGGCCATTCTGGGGTAGACGAGAAACGAACCTTACCAGGTCTTGTCTCTTCAGTGTGTGTGACTGTTATGTGTCCATGTTCACCGCCACATCTTTGTTTGCCCCCCCCTCCCCCTCCTCCTCCCCCTCCCTGCTTTGCAGCAAGGGAAATGCCTGACGACATACAGTTGGCCGGGGTGGACGTGTCAAGAAGGAAAAAAAACTTGGTCGCTGAGCATGTCATTGAACTTTGTTGAACTGAAAATGGTACTTCCCAATTGCTGGGGAGGGGTCTAAAGTGTTTCTACGACCGAATTCTTTTCCATTCTATACCTGTGTGTGCCATGCGAAACCAACATGATTGTTTCTCAAACCAAGTTGTGCCGTTTTTTTCTTTACAAAGAAACATGATAGTTATATAAGATTTTTTGCAGCATATGTATATGTATATATATATGTAAGAACGGAAAAACAAAATAGTCTAGTTAACTACATGAAAAATGCCCATTGAAACAGTAAAACGCAAAACTAAAACGTGAGACGTGTAAAACCCACCCGTAATCCATAAAACCGCGCTATAGCAGATGTTCTAAACCCCACCTTCCCAAGCAAATGCCTATGCCGCAGAACGAACCCTTCCCACAGTGTAGGGAAAAAAAGGGGGGGGTGGGAACGAAGGGGGAACCAGATGCGCATTTTTCTCTGCATAAACAAGAAGACGAGAAATAAGCAAAAAAAACGCTAACAAGATGCTCCCCAAGAAAGATGCACACAACCGACCCCGCACAATGCTTCCCCTCCCTTCCCGGATGCAACGAAACAAAAACACGCAATGCAATCATGTAAACTCGCGATGATGGGGGAAAACAAAACATTCAAAACAAAACACACACAGAGAGAGAGGAGGAAACCATGACTAAACAGCGCAAGCAACAAAGATGCATGATTGGAAAGATGGAAGGGAAGAAAAAAAAAGGATATGATAATAGCCAAAGAAAAAGAAAACCAAAAAACACATGTTTGTGTGTGTGTAGGACACAACACGCCCAAAGTATAAAGCAAAAAAAAAAACGAGAACCCACGCTAAATGCCATGAACAAAAAAAGTGAACATCATGATCTTCGCATAAAACGGGGGGGGGGGGGGGGGGGAAGGAAGGGAAGGAAGAGGAAGGAGGGAAAGNAAAAACGAGAACCCACGCTAAATGCCATGAACAAAAAAAGTGAACATCATGATCTTCGCATAAAACGGGGGCAGGGGAGGAAGGGAAGGAAGGGAAGGAAGAGGAAGGAGGGAAAGAAGAAGAAGGAAGAAAGACAAGCCATCAACCTACATCCCCTCCCCCTCTTCTCCCTCCTCACCCACCAGATCCCCCTCTCCCTCCGTCGCCCCAGTCCCGTCCCGTCCATCCATCTAGTAAAAAAAAGCAACAGCAAAAAAAAACCCACACTCCCCTCCCCATCGTGCGCATCTCGAGAGTAAGGGGTGGTGGGGGTATCCATTCCCTTCCTTGCCTTTCCCTTTGCAATGCGCGCCATACCCCCAAACACCCATTCCATCCCACCCCCCCAAAAAAAACTCCCTTGGAAAAAGCACACGCTTTCTAGACCATATAACAAAAAAACTCCTCATAGCCCCCCCCCCCCAACCGACAAAAAAAGTCGCTTCACCCCTTCATTACGGTCCCGGCCCGAAAATGCTTCGTATATCTTTTTCCCCTCTTTCCTTCTTCTTCTTTTCTTCCTTTCCCGTTATCCCAATCGGCCAAGTAGTAATGGGAAAGAAAACGTGTATACATATATGAACATGGCCCAAAAGCACGCGTGCGCGCGCGAGTAAAACAAGAATGACAAAAGTCTATAAAAAAATCCCATGCAAAAAAAAGACAACGTTTTCTCTCTCTCCAGCGCGAAGGAGGAAGTGAGAGTGGGGTGGAGGGGGGGTAGGGTGAAGGTAAAAGGAAAAGGGTTTCTTAAGATCTATAAAAACAAAAAACGTTGTGAGACTATAGAGTAAAAAGAAGATTCGTTTGAGCGTGAATGTATATGTAAGAAAAAGCGGTGGTGGGACCGGGGTTGAATGCTGAGATGAAAAGAACGCTTCAATTGCGAAACAACAACAGAGGTGTAGTTTTTCTGGTGGTGGTGGTGGTGGTGGGGGAAAAGGAGTGGGATGGGAAATCATGGCACGGTGGACGTGGGACGCTCGTAAGGGGAGGCGAGGGAGCGGCGGTCCGAGGTGCTATTATCTTCGGGGTCGCGTTTGAGGCTGTGAATACTGCCAGTGTTGCTGTGTTGGGACATTCGATCTGGGCTGCGCATCGTATGTGATTGTTGTTGTTGTTGATGCATGTCCGAGGGATCTGATTGTGGGGGTGGTGCAGAGGTAGCAGCTGCTGGGGCCGACGAAGCGGTTTCTTCTTCTTGCTGGCGGCGCCGTTGGTAATGTTCCATGTAGCTGAGGCTCTCGCCCTCTCGTTTCAGTGACCCCGCCATGTCCGGGACGGGTGCGGTTCGCGCTCCGCTGACTAAATCTTCTTCGGATCGCGGGTGGATCTGTGGGAGAGGTTGGCCGAGTTGCGGTGGCACGCTCGAGCGTGAACGAGCATCTGCCCGTCGCCGGCTGAAGGAGCTGTTCCGCCTGCGTCCGACGCCGACGACACCGCCTCCACCGCTGCCACCGGCGCTGGAGCCACTGTCTGTGCGGTGGTGGTAGCCGTGTATCGGGCCTTGGGCCATGGGCGCCGGAGGTGCTTGGTGAAGCTGCGGTGGCATCGGCGGTGGGTTTGGCATCAACTGAGCTGCGTTTGCGGGAGTAAAGCCATGGGGTGCAGGCGCGGGTATGACAGGCACCTGCGATGGCGAGCTCATGCCTGTTCCCGTTGCAGATGGGTGGAGCTGAAACACTGGCGCGTTGGCGCGCGCACTCATCTCCTGCTCCCCCAACTGCCAGTGCATGGATTCGGCTGAACGCCAGGGAATACCCATCTCGGTAGCAACCTTCTGCCACATTTGGTCCTTGAATCTATTTCCCAAAAAAAGTCAGTATTTGTTTTTTTCGCCCTTGTTGTGTCGCACGTGTGTGTGAGATGTCTTTTGTCTGCGGCCTGCCTGACCGAACAAACCAAAGAACATTCACCGCCAGCCTCTTGGGGAAGAGGCGGCCGTCCAAAATAAATTAAGATCTAGCCGTTTTTTTTCGCTCTCTTTCTAATGTACGTACCGGGCGTAGAGTCGTGCTAGCTTGTTCTTCTTCTCCTCATCCCAGATAGCTCGCTTCTCCAGGTAGTTTTGGTATCGCAGGCGGCACGAGATGGAACTCCGTCCGGGAAGTCGTTTTGCAATGTCATCCCACTTCATGCCTTGGCCCCGCAGTTCTATTGTTAGGTTGTCTTCTTCAGGAGTCCATTTGGATTGTTTCTTAGCGGGGCTCTCGTCGGGGAGTGGTGTTTGGGATGCCTGGCGCTTCAGTGTTGATGGAGGAGAAACATTGGTAGCTGCTGGGCCGCCGTGGGCAGGTGTGGGTCCATGGGGTCCTGAGTAGAGTTGGCGGAATTGAGGAAGCGGCGCAGACTCATTCCGTCGGTGAAGCTCTGCAATGGCGGGCAAAACGGGTCCTCCTAGCATTGGTGCAGATCCTTTGGGAGCTGATGTTGGTGCCTGTGGGGGGTAGGCAGCCATGGGAGCATAGTGTTGGGGGGCAGTTGCGTAGCCCGGCGATCCAGTTGCATACGCGGGCGATGCTCTTTGCGCCGGCGACTGTGTGTACGCTGAGGGTGCGGTTGTGTATCCCCGTGTAGCTCCGGTTGAGTGAGATGCATTAGATACTGAGCTCTTCTTGCTGGCCGGTGACTCGGAGCCCCGGGCGCGGGGCTCGAGAAGGAGATTGATATCCAGTGTGAACGAAAAGGACCAGCGTTACGCCAGCCCATAAGCTAATGTTAGGTTTACGTTGTAACGTCTCCGGGCTCCACCAAATGATTCCAAAGATTGCCGACGATGACGACAACAAGTAGGATTTCCTAGTAGTGTTTTTGCGGTTGTGTGTGTGTATGCGTGTGTGTATGCGTGTGTGTATTGGTAGGAGGAGCAAAGCAAAGTAAGATGCAAAGCGCCGACCAAGGTAATGACGGGAAGGGACTATGCACAAGATTGCGTAGTGTTGGCTAAGGTGAGGTGACGTTGATGGGTAAACACAACAACAAGTCGGAGGGGAGGGGGGGGTGTAGGCGGGAGATGAACAGGAGAGGACAGGCGTGAGGAGAGGAGTGAGGTTCGGATAGACTAAATGTGCCGAAGAGGGAACCAGTTAACCAGTTGTGAGGTACAGTGGATGATTGACGCTCTAAGTGGTCGATCGAGCTATTTGGGAGATGGGTCGGGGCCGGGGAGCAGGGGGTGAAACAGGCCAACCACTTGGTCTGATGAGTGACGGTCGTGCTGAGCCACTGACTTTTGCAGGTCGAGCAGGTCGGGGAGGATAGCGTTGGAGGGATGGTGGATGCGGTCTGGTAGGAGCGAAGTAGGGTCTGAGGGTCTGAGGTACTTTGTCGAGCATGGATGTGCGAGTAGAGAGAGTTAGCGTGCAACTGTAATGCTAATAACAGGCATCCCTGCGAGGCCCTGGCTGGCGCCGCATCATCGTCCGCGGTAGGGATAGGGATTCCGGGGGCTTGGGATCAGGATGTACCCTTTGCGTCTGTGACTTGACTGACTACCTGTGCGCTTGACGCCTTGTCGACTCGTGCTGGCGGCGCGCCACATTAACGACCCACAGACCACGACGACACCAGAGCTGATCTGATCTAAGGAAGCATGTCTGCCGGAGATTTTAGCGAGCGCCCAAGAAGAAAAAGGACAGACGCTCCCCCTCAGGCCCAAATTGCGGATTGTGGCTAGCAGCTAGAGCAGCTAGCTTGACACAAGAAGCACGACACCCGTTCTTGCTGGCAGAGGCGCTAGGATGACGTGTCTTGCGTGGTGGGAGGAGTAGTTTTACCTAGTTGTCTGTCGTTTTGACGTCTTACCTTGTTGTTGTTACTACTATGCGCTTCTCTCTCCTTCTTTCGCTTTGGCCTCTCTGGCGCTGGCTTCGGCTCTGACTCCGGGCCTCTGCGTATGTGTGCGTATGTGTGTGCTCGCCCCGTCTTGGGGGTCTTTGCATTCATTCGCATTTGGCTTGTCTCGCCTTGCCTGCGTCCATGGTGGGTGAGCCGCCGTTGACGAACGAACGAACGAACGAACGAACCAGCCCGTCCGTCCGTCGTCGCCCACTCCACTCGGCGGCAGTGATGGCCTTGTTCGTATCTGGCACGCCTCGGACGGCCGGTGCTGGGTCTCATTTGCTGCCCTCTCGTTTCGTCAGGCCTCAATGCGCGTGCCCAAGACAGGGCTGGCGGGCGGCGGCGAGGGCGGCGAGGGCGGCGTTTGCAGACGAGCAACATGGAGGATATAGCAAGGGTGCTGGCGGTGCTGCTCCTCTTTTTTTCTGCTCTCACTCTCTCACACTCCGTCACGGCCACGATCGTCGACCAAGATGGCAACATCCGGGGCGTGTTTCCTGCAGCGCTGGCCAAGGCAGCGAATCAAGGCGACACACAAGCGGTGAACAGCCTCAGGGATTCGCGCAGACGGTTCGGGTTCGGACGAGGTCAAGCGCCATGACATGGAAGATCTGCAGCATGCTCGCCCTGCTCCGGCTATCTCTGACGCCAGACGCGTCGCTACCGAAGCCTTGCGAACGGCTGACTTCATTGTAGCGGTGCATACATGGTGATGTGTTCACGCCCGAGGGCTGCCAACGGCCACTGTGGCTCCACGCCCTGCAATATCTGCCTCGACGGCTCCGGTCAAGCCCCCCCACTGTGGGCTGTGAGCGCCCGGCGATGCACTAGAAGCATGCCATGGCATGCACAGAGGAGCGGTGAACTGCGGTGAACTGCCGGCCATGCCATGGGCGTGACGTCTAGCTTGGATGGAGCCGTCGTTGCTTCGGCCTGACCCGTATTCGACCTGGCCTGCCCGCTTGCTTGTGTGTGTGCTGTCCTGCTCAAGTCTCGTGCCCATGAATGACGGAGCCACGTTGTGTATGTACCATACTATACGACGACATCCGTCCATCCATTCATCCAGCCATGCCGCCTTGCCAGTGCAGTGCAGTCCAGTGCAGTCCAGTGCAAACATGATGCGATGACCACGACGACGAGGCGTCGCACTGCCAGGTCATATCTGCGTGCGCCGCCCCCCCAAAATGCTCCATTGCATCACTGCCTCGCTGCCAGGCCAAGGGTTCTGATGATGCGCATTAAGCGGTGAGGCCTGTCGGTCTGTCTGGAGCCGTGCATGCACATAGGCTGTTGGTTTGCTATTCACGGATGGCCACTGTGAGGTTGGCGGAGACTGATGGGTAGTAGAGCACGCCCCCTCTCTTGTCGGCCACGGCCACGGCCACTTGGGGACGGGCTTAGACGTGCATTAGCCATGAACAGCGTCCCCGTGCGTCCGTGAACGCTCGAGTCAAAGGAGAAAAAAAGGGCTTTTCATCGGCGACATACTTGAAGCACCCGCTTCTGCCCTCGGGCGGATGCTGCAATACCTTCCTGCACCGGTCCGGCATGCCATAATCAGATTCCCACAATAAAAGCCCATGACAGTCTGGGCCTGCCATGCTCTCTAATAACCCGCCGTCCCTGTTAGTTTGTGTCTACGCTTGACAAGCACCCATCTAGTAGTGATAACCATGTCTGAACATATACGCCGTGTCACAGCCGCCATGTCTTGTCTGGCTGGCCGCTTTCTTGGCTCGATGCGGATGCAACACGTCAATCTGTCGGCGCAGCACAATCCTAACCTCGTCTGTCTATATATATATATATATATACATATGTACTTACATACTACACACAAGCATACTTGGACAACTCGGGCATGGGCACAATAACAGGGGAGAGCGGTGAGCCGAGTGCAAGGGCCGGCTGCTTTCTTCTCACCAGCTCCATTTATCACATAGTACATGTACCAATGTAAGTACTTAGTACATACAAGACGCTGGCGCCTCTGCCCTCGACGCCCGTCCGTCCGTAAAACACAGCCGGCGCAATATGGTTCTGCCTTGGCTGAATGAGCCATGGCTTCGGCCAGGCAATCGGAGCCGACGAGCATTGGCGCGCGTTCCTCGACTGCACAGCAGCGCCTCTTGGACCGAGTGACCCGCGCAGAGACATTGCCAACGCATGGCGCGGGATCGTCGCTGCAGCTCCCACGGCGACGAGAGCAATGATATGAGCGCGTGGGGTCGGCGTGGGCAACGGGCGTTCGTCATGTGTTCAGAGACATTCACTCGAGTTGGAGTCGTGGGCCTTGGCGCTCGCTTCACATGCCCAATCCGGCCGTCCTGCACGCCCCCCAGCCCTATCCAATGCCTCTTTCTTGCACCACTCCAACTCACCCACCCCCAGCCCGCATTACCAGCGGGTCACCTGTCAGGACCAGACAAGTCATCCATTCCCCCACTGCGGTTGCTGCTTGCTGCTTGCTGCTTGCTGCTTGCTGTCGCATAACCGCTTTTAGCCTCGCCCGCCACTCACCATTGGCGCTCCCCTCGCTCCTCATCTCGCTCTACTAACTCCTGCACTCTCGCCCGCCCGCCTGCCTAGCTCGCTGTTGCTGGCCATCATGTCTCTTCAAAGCGCGGCAGACGTGCCGCTTCTCATTAGCTCCCCCAACTCGTCCTCTGAGCGTCGAATCTCCCCCTCGTGGACGATTGCCCATCTCAAGACACGTCTCGAGCCCATTACCGGCATTCCCGCAGGCTGTCAGCAGTTGTCTCTACGGGTTGCATCACAGGACCCCGTTGCCCTCGTTGCTGCAGATGAAGAGCATACCCAGCTTGTTGCCTTCCCGCTGCAGCCGTATGCCGAGATCGCCGTAAGTCCTTCTTCTCATTCTCATTGCATAGCCACTGCCAGCCCTGTCCTTGACCCGTTTGGTATGCTGTCCTCTCGCCGTCTGCCACATCTCCTTGCCATTCCTCTCTCCCCCCCCCCGGCTTGGCTCCCTACTCCCCTTGAAACTGCTCTACTTACTCGGTACGTGCATGTACTGTGTCTTCTCTCTTCCTATTCGCTCTTGCGTGTGGCCGCATATCCTGCCCTGCCCCGCAATGCACACACTCTATCTTTGTCAGCCTGGCAGTCGCGGGAAAATCCATCCTTCGGCTCCTCCGCCGTCGTCTGCCCACCTGTGAGCACGGAGCCGTTGGGATGTACTGAGCAGTGCGTCTCCTGACTCCAATTGCGCACCTTGTTATTCTCTTGCCCATTTGGTCTCCTTTTTTCTTTTGCTCGGCGCCTCGGTCCTATTTGACACTTCATCTTGCCTCACGACACAACCCCTGCACAGACCGTTCAGCTCCATAGTTCTTCTGACAGGCCTCTGCCAACAAATCAGTGCCCGTACATGGCCTCTCGTGTTGACATGCAATCTCTAGGTTGTAGATACGCGTCCACCCGCTGCACGTACAGACTTCAATGACCTGTCCGCCGTTGAGAAGTATGAGATGCCGGTGGCAGAGTACGAGCATCGGACCGATAGTGTTCTTGCATGGAAGAAGGCTCAAAAGCTTGGGCGATTTGATCCAAACGCTCCCAGCATAGAACAACAAAAGATCCGCGCCTCTGAGCGTGAAGTAGAAGAGAGAGGTAAGCCTAACCGTCTCCTTTGCAGCTCTAGGGCCACGTACTCGTACGACAGTGGTGGCTGTGTTCTAGTTAAAAAAAAGCAACTCTGGGGCCAATTGACAATTGCGGGTATTGCTCTGGTTCAACCTACTCGTACACCATTACTTCACGCGTAATGTACATGGCTCAAACGGTTCCCAAAGCCGCGGCTGCACAGATCCGAGTCCAAGGCCTCGCCACAGACATCATGTCAGCAGGTTTCATCCAGTCATGAAGCATCGACAAGGAAGTAAGCATGTCAGACAAGCACTTTCTAGACCTGATGCCGTCTCACCGAACCGGTCGTACAAAATATACTCTTTTCAGTAGCCTGCATGACACCCTGGGCCCCCTTTGGCCAGGGGCCCAATGCCATCTGCGACAGCGTCTGCACACGTCCAATCGACAATAGTAAACTGGCAATCGAGTATTGCAGGTTTCGGTTGCCTCGGGGGATCGTTTATATCTCTCGCTTTATCACTCTCGCCTCGCCTCGCTTCCCGTCCCGCTGGGAGCTAAAGGATCGGAACGAGGCTCCCCGAAACTCAAATGCAATGATAAATCCACCTGTCACCATCCTCACGCTCCAAACTTCCTTTACTTGATACTTGGTTGCCGCAAGCCACGCCTGCAACGAGGAATTGAATGCCTGGACCAACATGGTGATGGTGGTCGGCGGGTGGCGGGGCCTGTATCAATTATCGCGCGCTACAGCCTTGAGGCTTGTATTGGAGCGAGGATATCGCTTGTGCGTCTAGACAATCAACGCCGCAGCGCATCGCGGCTGGAACATGCCGCCGGTCCCGCCTGTGCATTGTCAGTTTGTGACCATACTCCCCCGTTTAGGTCTCAGCGCCCCTCACAACGGGCGCTTCACATGTGGCAACTCCTCTGTGTGTGTACCAGAGGGGGGCAGATTGGCGGCTTGGAACCTGCGCGACTCAAAAGGTCAATCACTTCGGAATCATGTCGCTCGATTATCGTCGCTACCATTTGCTCCTCTGTACACAAGGCTGGAGGTTCAAACTAAGTTAGGCTCCGCTTCATAGCAAGGGGGTGGCCACTTTTATTTTCGCTACTCATGAGCAAATCCGGACATACACTTTACTGACTGACCCACACCAATACTCGAAGAGCGATCACTGACATATCTCACTAGGTCTATCTGTATCGAGTCGTGTTCGTCTACTACCCGAGTCGGATGCACGCCGCGGCACAGTGTCGTACATTGGGTTGATCCCAGAGATCCCCGGCATAGGTGTCTGGGTGGGGGTCACTCTTGACGAGCCGACGGGGAAGAATGATGGTTCCGTCAAGGGCAAGCGATACTTTGAGTGTGGCCCCAACTATGGTGTGTTTGTGCGGCCCGAGCGATGCGAAGCTGGCGATTTCCCGCCTCTTGACATGGGTGATGAGGATCTTGAGGAGATGTGAGATCATTGCATTGTGCCCAAAGGCCTAACCCTACATACAATATATGCAAAACCTTTTGATGCTTGCACCAAATCAACATCACACATGTATTCTCCTCGGACATTGTACATGGCAAATCCACCAATCTACATCTACTTGAAATCTTGAAATCTTGAAAAACAAAAAACAAAACGAAAACATGACAAAACATCTCAAGACAAGAACCTTGGCATTACGTTCTCCCCCCTTTGCCCCCCGCTTGTGAACCACACTCATCCAGCACTCTGCTACAACGGCAAAACCCACTCACCCTCATTCCTCGGCTTAGCAAGACTACTCGCCTCCCTCTTGACAAACCGACCATACCCCTTCTCACCCTTTAACCCGCCATGCTCCCTATCCCACACCACCTTCCCCCTCAACACCGTCCACCGCGGCCACTGCGTCATGGTCCTCCCTTCAAACGGCGTATAATCCACATCATGATGCAACATGTCATTCCTGAGTTCAAACGGCTTCATTGTGCCCTCTGGATACCACACTACCAAATCCGCATCCGACACGCCCTCTTGCAACGCACCCTTTCTGGGGTAAAGTCCATATAGCTTCGCCGGATTTGCCGCCGTTAGTTGTACGAATTTCGGCAAGGGAAGGCGGTTAGCGCTGAGGGTGAGTGCGAGCCGTGTTTCGATGCCTGGGCAGCCGTTTGGTATGTATTTGAAGTGACCGTCTGGGTAGGCTTCGGAGATGCTGGTTTTCTTGCCGGAAACGGAGTCGTTGTATCGAAAGGGACAGTGGTCCGAGGAGAGGATTGTAAAGGTGCCGTTGGAGAGGCCGTCCCAGATGGCGTCGCAGTCGGCGGTGCTGGCGCGGGGTGGAGGCGAGCAGACGCATTTTGCGCCTTCGAAACCTGGGGCCGAGAGCGAGGACGAGGTGAGGAAGAGGTATTGCGGGCAGGTTTCTGCGTAGATTGGTAGGTTGCGGTCTTGCGCGGATTTTATGTGAGAGGTTGCGGAGGGAGTGGAGACGTGGACGATTAGGATGGGCGTGTCCATGAATTCGGAGAGGGAGATTGCGCGGTAGGTGGCTTCTGTTTCGGCCATGGGTGGGTGCGAGGAGCCGTGGTATTTTGGGGCGAAGAGTTTGCGCTTTTCGAGCTGTGTGGTCATCCAGTCGATTACTTGGCCGTTTTCCGCGTGGATCATGGTGGTGATGGAGTGGGTGCGGGCGTGGAGGAGGATGTCGAGGATTTGGCCGTCGTGGAGTTGGAGGGCTTCGTAGGTCATGTATATTTTGAGGGAGGAAATGCCTTCGGCGCGGAGGATGGGAAATTCTGAGAGGGCTTTTGGGGAGGGGTTGCCGACGATGATGTGGAAGGAGTAGTCGATGTAGCAGTTGTCTTTTGCCCGTTCGTGAGTTGCGGCTAGGGTGTCGAGAAGGGTGTCTTCGGTCTTTTTTTGAGGCGCAAATGTGATCATGGTTGTTGTGCCTCCGCATACGGCTGATCGGCTGCCTGTCTCGTAGTTGTCTGCTGTTGATCCCTGGCCGAATAATGGGGGTTCTTGGAGATGGACATGTGCATCTACACCTCCTGGCATCACGTATCCCCCCTCGGCATCTATTATCTTTGTTGCTTTGGTATCTCCCAGACCCCCTCTTGGGACTACCTTTGCAATCTTCTCATCTCTGATGGCGATATCCAACTCTTGGATATCTGTTTCCGAAACCACTACTCCATTGATGACGAGCAAATCATATTCGGCTGCCATTGTGTCTCGACCTTTCTCAATCCTTTGAATCAAATGGAAAGAGAAGCAGAGAGAACAATGGCATTCGAAGATACATGTCGTCGGCTATCGTGGTAGTTGGAGGAAGACTAGTCCAAGATAGTGAGGTGCATATCTCAACCCCTCACTCACATCTGCCCCACCTTTGTTCCTCCACACCTTATCAGCGGCTGAACACGTAGAGTTGGAGTAAGTAAGCATACTATGCGGAGCTCTGTACAGTCATATAATTCTGTCATACCCAATAAACACACGTCTTTAGGCTGGATGTGCGTTGGAGAGAGTTAGACCACTGTTTATATACCCCCTTTGAAGCTATAGCATCATTGAAGCACCAAAGTTTGCATTAAAGTCGTCAGAATGACTTCAAGTTCTCTCAAGATCAATGGAGATAGACTAAACAGTACACTGCAAGATACTTGCACACAATATGGCGCTCTTGCAGCCCCTTCAACGGGCATGTGTCGTCTCACTCTCACCCCAGAAGATGGAGCCGCGCGAGACTGGCTAGTGGCAGAGTGCAAGAGCTTGGGATGCGAAATCAAAGTTGACCAAATGGGAAATATTTTTGCAATTCGTGAAGGCACTGCCAAGGACAAGAAACCAATTGGTATGGGTAGTCATATGGATACACAGCCTGCAGGCGGGAGGTACTGGCACAATACCATATCGAACTCCAGCTCTACTAAACTCATTAACTCAACCCCAGATACGACGGCATCCTAGGCGTCCAAGCCGCCCTCGAAGTCCTCCGCACCCTCCACGAAAACAACATCTCAACCCACTGTCCCCTGGCCTTGATAAACTGGACCAACGAAGAAGGCGCCCGGTTCCCTGGCGCAATGATGTCCTCGGGCGTCTGGAGCCAGCACTCCAGCACCCCCCTCTCGGCCTGCTGGTCCATCCTCGACACCGACGGTATAACCATGAAAGAAGCACTGCAAAGTATAAACTATCTCGGCGAAACACCCTGCTCACACCTCGACAACCCGCTCCACTGCCACTTCGAACTCCACATCGAGCAAGGCCCCCTACTCGAGCGCGCCGGAAAAACCGTCGGCGTCGTCGAAACCGTCCAGGGAATGCAATGGTACGCCATCCGTGTGCTGGGAAAAGAAGGCCATTCAGGTACAACCCCCATGCCCGACCGCTCAGATGCACTCGTGACGGCCTCGCGCCTCATCACCGCCGTCCGCGACACAGCCCTCCACACCGAACTCGGCGTTGCAACCGTCGGCGTCATAAAAAGCGACACCGCATCCCAAGCCACGATCCCCGCAGGCGTCGATTTCATAATCGATATAAGATGTTCCACCGATTCGCAGGTGACACAGCTTTCCACCGCCATCTTCGCAGCCTTTGATAAAATCATCGCAGAGGAAACAAATGGCACGGCTTACAAAGTGCAGCGGACGTGGGGTCTCCCAGAATCAAAGTTCCATCCGCATTGCATCGAGGCTGTACGGGAAGCGGCGGTGCGACTGGTGGGTGAAGACCAGGTTATGAGTATGATGAGTAGAGCGGGCCACGATAGCGCGTGGACGAGTCGCGTGGTACCTACGAGTATGATTTTTGTGCCGAGTAGAGATGGGGTTAGTCATAATCCTGAGGAGTATACGAGTCCTGAGCATTGTGCGTTGGGGGCGCAGGTGCTGCTTGACGCCGTGTTGGCGTATGATGAGAAAGTTGCAAAGGGGGTTTACTAGAGGAAAAGAAAAAAAAGGAGGGAAGTGAGAAGAAGGTTATTTCCCATTTCAAATGGTATATATGTGGTATGTAAAAAAATGGTCCAAGCAATATGGAGTTCCAAGAAGTTTTATGTACAAAGAATCTCTAGCCCGTTGTGTAAAAATCTTAAATCACCAAGCCACCATAATCTCCCCGTCTCTTTCGTTCAGAATCGTTTGTGGTATTCAAGTCTCTTAACCAGAGTAGACAGCAGGGCCAGGGCTGACGTACTTGAAGCTCGAGTCGTAGATGGCCTTTGAGAAGAGTGGGTCGCTGATCTTGTAGGCACCCGGGAAGCTGACACCAGAGGGCGTGGCACTGCCTCCTCCAGTAACCTTGACCTGGAAGCAGCTGACGTAGGGCTGAGGGCTTCCAGCACCGGCGTGCAGCGCAATAGCCTCGGCGCGGACGAGGTAGTCACCAGCAGCAAGGCTCTTGGGAACAGTGAAAGAGCGCTTGCCGCAGTTTGCGTTGAGGATCTCAGTTCCCCATGAGGCGGTGGTACCAGTGTATCCGTCCTCGGCGACCTTGAAGAAAGAGCCAGAGGTGGCGGTTTTGGCATCGCTGACCTTGGCCATGTAGATAAGGACCGGGCCGTAGTGGTTGCCGCCGATGGCAGGCTGCGAGCAGGAGCGCGCGCCGGGCTGAGCGTGCATCTCAACGGTGAGGGAAGTACCGGCTGGGTCTAGTGTTAGCCATTGTCTATTGCATAGTACCAAGGGTGGAATGGAGATGGTGTTGTTCTCCTCTTCTTGGAATGGAGATTTGGGGATATGGAGACTTACCAGCAACTTCGCAGACACCGGATGAGGCAGCAGGACCACGACCACAGAACATGTCGGATGAAGACAGGCTGTCGATAGGGCTGTTATCCTTGACAGTACGCGTGCAGCTGGTCGCCTTATCGGTGCTTCCAACCCACAGTTGCTGCCATGTCGAGTGGGCAGAGGCGGTGGTCGCAGCAGCGAGGAAGATGGTGGAGTACTTCATGATTGCGATGAAGAGTTGATGTGAGAGTGTTTGAAAGTGATTGTCTGTGTCGTGCTGTTCAACTTCAAGGCAGAAGGCTGCTCTTATTTATTCCTCATGCTGCTGAACGCCCCATCTTGCTGGCTGACACCGAGCAATCTAACAGCAACGGTTTTGTCCCGGGCCGTCATACCAGTAGCACTACTCCACTGAGTATCTCGTCAATCCCTGATTCTGCGTAACTTGTGGCTCTAATCCATTGTTTGTCACACATGTAGATTGCATCGCTCCAACCAAGCTTTCTTGGCACCTGTCAGGAAGCGCGTGCTCATCAGCACTCAATTTACACCCATGTTTACTATTCGCCGATGCAGCATTCCAAGCCCCGGAATTTGCCTGATTGGGCACGGCATTCGTTTTTTGGTCGGGTGTTGCATCAACCGGCGTCGTTTCGGATGCAGTGGCGCCCCGCAATATGAGGCTGGATTTATTAGGCATGGTCATTTGGACGACACCGTTGCGGCGATGGAAGACACCGGGTAAGCGATGTAATCTGATTTTTCATTGATGCCAGGACACCCAAGCCTTGGAGGCTCTATGCGCAGTCTTCTTCTGTTAACTTATTGTAGTCGACAAAACGGAGCGTGTCGATTGGGTAAGTCAACATCCTAGACATGCAGCGCCCACTAGACCCACCTCATCCATATTCGAAACATAACAAAGCCACTATAGCACCATTGGTCGCCTCTGGTTGTCAACGCCTAGGCGAGATCGTCCGGCTTCGAGGCCGACACGCCGGTTCGCGAACAAGTCGAAGATGCAAAAGAACGTCATTAGCGGAGGCTTTCATTTCTGGTGCGACCGGATTAGATTGAATATTTTCGCATTCCTACCTGCTGCTGCAACCCCTTAGTCGTGTCCCGGGTTTCATTGGCGCCTCTTCAGTACAACGGTGGCGACGGCGGCGTCAATCTATCGTGCTGCACGATCGAGGCGAAACGTGACCTTATCTATGCTCTCTATGCCTTTGCGGACTTGCCAAAGTAGTTGGCAAGTGTGTTTTTCTGTGTTGGCTTCTCCTTCCTAGTGGCAGGTTCCGTCTTCGTACGCTCCCCCACGCCCATCAATTTCTTGAAATCTTCCCACTCTTGCTTTCCCACAATACCACCACTAGCCTCTTTGTGCCCTCTTGCAAAGCTCTCTCCCAGTCTTGCTCTCAGGTCTTTGTCACCAGCAACAATGCCCTCAAGCTTCTTGATGATGTCAATCTTCTCCTCCCCTTCCCTCGCCCGCGCACATTTAGCAACTCGACATGAGAAATTGACTCTGTCTGGAAGATAGCCCTCGTTCGCACACATTACAATCTCTAGCTTGTTTGACTTTAGAGTGCCTGACCAGCGGGTCGCGATGACGGGATGAATCTGCGCAGCCGAGGATATCGACAGTAGGGCAATGGTAGCGTCCGCGGAGAACGTGGGCGGTGTATGCGTGCAGCGCTCGGTTTCACGTCGTACCTCCAAAGATGCGTTACGAAGTTTCTCGTCTTTGACAATTGCGCCAGGACTTTCTGCAGAGAGCACTGCAGCCCACGCATCCTCAACATTATAAGCTGCCGACCGTCTCGGCGCGTTGACCAAGGCTACGGCGTCGTTGATCGCCTTCTTCGTGTGTTGTTTGAAAGTGGCCTTCATATCTGGAAATGGTGGCTCCCACTTGATGGTGCCTCCTAGGTCGCCGTGGGTCCCCAGTGCTGCAAGCCAGGAGACCTTATTGTTTGAGTCGGCATGCAATGGCAGGCAGATATTGTATGTCAAGAGGGCACTTGTTGCGACAGGAGGACAGTCATGAGCCGTGACATACTCGGCACCTTCTGGGAACCCCCCTTCATCTGCAAAATGATGATCTATAATGAGACATGTATGTGGGAAGTCGACCAGTGGCGGGCTCTTTCTGCTACCTTGGTCAAGAACAAAGATATACACTGGCGATAGAGCGGCCAGAGCTTCCCTTGTACTTTCATCGTGGACGTTGGAGCCTTTTGGAGGAAAGTACACCGATATATGATCAGATGATAAACCAAGAGTAGTGAGTGTATGGTACAATATTGCACCCGAGGACAGGCCGTCTGCATCCTTGTCTGGCATTATGACAGTGGACTTCTGAGCGATAGCACTGTAGACTGTTAGTAAATGATAGACGAGACTTTAAGAAACTGTAGCTTACCACTCTTTGATAATCGTCCGCGCACGTTCGATTTGTTCGCGCCTGGCGGGCCAAACTATCTCACAACTCCCATCTTGTCTCGATTGAGCAAGGTGGTAAGCAGGTATCTCAACCTTTGGTTTCTTCGACTTAGGGGGTGACGTTTCTTTTTCATGTTTACGCTTCAAAGGGCTCATCGTGAATGCGGACGCATGAAGCTGTCGGGCTTGCGGTGCTGTGAAGACAAGTGCAGACGGATGTAGCTGATAATAAACCCGAGGCAATGTATGAGGCAACCTCGCTAATCTTTGAGCGAGCACTCTCATTATCCAGTGGTGTAATACACGACAGGCTGAAATGCGACGCGGGAAAAGTACCTCGTAGTCGATGACGTCGTTGCCACACTAGTCCATTCTTAGCCCAACCACCCAGTGTTTAGACATACACTTGAGCGCATTTTGCGAAATAGTTAAATGTTGAAGCTCTGTCAGCTTAAGGTAGAAGCAGCTTGGCGCTGCTCTTCGCGAGTGTTTGTCCGTCGAAGCCTACCCCAACAAGCTCAAGTTCCACAGTCGATCCTGCATTCTTCTCAACGAATCGTTTTTTTAGAATATGCTCCAGTGCATATGCTTTACCAATCATTCTTCCGTCCATGTAAATGACAAAATACGAGAAAGGCCCTGTGATGTTGCTACAGGGAATTCCGTTGTCCTTATAGTTAGTTCTACCATGGTCTCTAAAGTTCCAAACCAGCTGCACGCGCGCACAATCTCCTTCACCTCGCTTTTCCAGCTGTATTTGGTCAATAGAGAATAAAGACGACATTTGAAAAGTAGAAATAGGCATAATCCGGACACTCGTGATGTTCATCAAATGCAGGGTCTTGCCTAGAGCAGTATCGATTGAGCCTTTCAAATGAATCCCAAGCTCTTGGATGCGAGCGCCAGGCACCAAAGACTTCAGTGGGCATACTGTTCGCTGAATTCCTTTCTCGAGTGTGATGGTGAAAAGCTGAACAGAGTCTGTGGTTCGAATATAAAGGGTGACAATACTTTGGTCAGCTGGCAATGACACATTGTTGCTGTATATCTCAGCTTGTAAATATCCATCTGCGGGCATGTCGAGTTTGAATAGCGGAAGACAGACTTCCGTCGTGGCATCGCTATTCGACTGATATTGCATGGCCTCGATTACCAAGCGCGAAGTTCTTGAGCTGTTGTCCAGACGGTGCCAAAGCCCAACAGCTTGATGTCTGTCTCCGAAAATGGCTGGACGCGGAAGAATAGACTGACTACCTAGTTGTGCATGGATACTACAGCCGTCGAATAGATCGTTCGATGCATCGTCATGCGTCGCAAAAGCGCGCGTGAAATCAGTGTAGAAGAAGTTTTCCGAACCAGACACACGCTCTTTGGCATACTTGAGGACTGCAAGAGCCTCATTAGGTTGATGACGCGACAAGCAATCTCCGCAAGAGCAGTCCATGTCACGTGGAAGTGGGATTCCTTGCCAGACTGTACGTTCAGCGTCGCGCCCTTTTCCAGGAAAATGCTCAAAGGACCACGCTGGGGCAAATATGCCTGCTGACAGCCCTAGGTCGGCGAGTTTCGCCACAGCAACACCAGTGTTCGTGCCTCCTCCCCCATATTCTGGATAAGTAACACGTGGGTGAGTGAAACTGGATTTATTCTGCGCCCACACATCAATACCAAAGAAAATGTTTCTGGGCGAGATTTTGCTTGACAGAGCAAGCTGTAGCGAGTTTTCAGCCTCAGTATCTTTCCAGCAGTAGTTTGTGAGTATACTTCCACAGGCCGATGCGAACTTGATGTTGGACGTGTTCAGCGCATTCTGGTACGATATCTTGTTCGAAATCGTAAGAGCATCGTACCTAAAACACCGTTATACTGTCCTAATGACGTGGAAAAGACGGAGTTTGTGCTTACCATATAAGCCTCATTGTACCGCCCATTTCGGCTCTCAGCTGGCAAAGGAAGGCTTCAAGAATTTCGGGGTCCCAAACATTATTTGGAAATCGTTTTTCAATGTTCACAAGCCAGCCGTCGAAGCCATAATACGAAGCAATTCTTGCTAACGTTTTTGCTAAGGGAAAATCCATATTTTGGCCGTCACGTGTGTGTTGCAGGAGACGCTCAGAACCCTCAGTCTGTGGCTCAACTAAGAGTGTACCTAGAACCTCGACGCCGTTGCGATGAAGGGTATTCGTCCACGTTGGCGGAGGCACACAGACAAGCTTGTGTGAGAAGTAGATGAAGACATCAACAAATTGAAGGTATTCACAGGAATAGAGCTCCGCGTCGACACCGGTCGCCTGTACGCTCTCATAATCATGGTAGTTTCCGGAGTAATCATGGATCAAGAGAACATCTGCTTTGCCGAGGCCTTTGTTTGTGCTCCTATCCTCCGTTCGTATGCGTGGTGTGTTGGCTCTTTGAAAGGAGTCACAATTATCTTCTGTCCATGCTTCTAGTTGATCAAACGTGTCGAAGTAAGCGAAGCCTTTGAGCCGATCCAGATCGCGTTGTTTGCGTCTCTCCTCAGGCGTTGGCCCTGTGTCTGGTGCAGGGAACAGATGGCGGTATCCATCACGAATTGGCCGGAGGATATCTTTCCATCCTAGCAGGTAGGCCATGGCAACGCAGGGCTGGAAGTGGTTGTGCTATTTCTGGGCCCTCCAGACGTGTGAGAGCTAGCTTGGATCACTTGTGCAGGGATCTATGGACGGTTTGAATCATAGCAACTGTGTCAGACTCCAGCTGCGTTCAAGGCAAACAACGCTGGTACTCCACGTATTGACTGACTTCCTGTGCGCAGAAGCCTCTCGGGCATGTATAATTGATAAGACAAAAATGGCCGCAGATGTACCGTGGAAGGGTGGGCGTTGGGTATGCGAACCACTGCGGGAGCGGCGACGATCAGAGGTGACGTTCCTGGCAGGGGTCGGGCTTGGCAGGCAAGGGCTACGTAGCTCCATCCGTCCTTACGTACAGAGAGCTGTCGGAACGTGTCTTTTTATGTGAGAAAGTGCGAATCTCCACACTCACACCACCTCTTGTCGCCAAACATTTGCTGCTTTCCTAGAAGCGCCCAGCGACACGCCCGCCGCCACGATGAATCTTTTCCGACTTTTGGGTACGCAGAATTGGAGAGCGAGGGCCGTCGCGACCAAGACGACGCCCGCTGGAGGATTATGGCATTGCTGACTTCGCGCAGGGGATTTATCCCACTTACTCTCCATCTTAATTCTTCTGCACAAGATGAAATCGTCGAGTGTACGCTGA